CAGTTTGACGCTCACCGATCGACTTGAATCGATGTTGGGTAGCGCTTTTACCTTTATGTACATATGTATGTATGTGCATATGTGTATGTACAAACAGACAAACGTATGCATATGTAAGTATGTATATATAATATATAAGTATGAATAGGTATACACAAAAATAGTAATCATATTTTGCGCTTTATAGCCGCTTAGGCGAATTTCGGCCCAGCTTCTGCTCCGATTTATGTACAAATGGAGAGGTAAAATTTTTTACTCCATTCCGAACAGACGCAAGATTTTAATAGCCAGCCCTTGATTTCGGTAATGTGGATTGCATTCTGGACTGACTTGAAGCCCTGACCTTCAATGACATATGTCTACAAGCAAGTACTAGTAATTTATTTACGTATGTATATACGAGTACCTATGTATGTATGTAAGAGTGTGTACGAGTATATGTATACTTCACAATGGTATATTAACATTGATCACACAACGGCTGTACATTGCTTAAACAAAAATTTAGATATCCGATAAAAAATAGGGTTATTAACCGTTATCCGAAGATAGTCACGACCGAGGCCCAAATCTGTCACAATCACAATCGGTGAAAACCGAGCAACAATTCGGGCTTATAATCCACACTCGTTGGTAGAACGTTAGGTGATATATGTCCTCATCCCCTTCATGCAGCCGAACGTGACTTTTCTTGTGACTCCTACATCTCCTGTCCGATGGACCGGATTTAGTTTCTTTTCGTTGTCCTCTACATACGGATAGTATATTATAAGAAATTTTTATTCATAATAAGTAATTTTGAAATATATCAAAGAACTTAATAAATATTTAGTAACAGTACATAAATGTTTGTTTCATCTGAAGGGGGTGAAAACAAAGCTACGTAGTTTAGCTTCCCTCCGCTGTGTGGCTACAGCATAGCATTCACACCAACCCCTACGTCCGCTTGGCTGAGCTACGTGGCTTATGGCCGCACCCTTGGCAACGAGGAATAATGGTTAGCATAATTTCATGGCTCCTTTGACACTGTTCTCACATTTATATGTATAACAAAAATTTCGATTTTCCTACGTTCCCGTCAAGGAAGCTTAAGTTGAAACCTGCTCAAAAGCTTTTAAATGGAATTCTTTGATTAAATTCGATCACAACTTAGCCTTACTCTTCATACGCTGCTCGGATCAATCCGAAATCGTTCTTCCTTACTTATTAGAAATAATATAAATATAAATACATATGCAGATGACGCAAAAGCCACTCTCTTGGGAAGGTTGTGGAAGTTTAACATAAAGGTTCAGAGACTGATGCGAACATACTTGCGAGTGTGAAAATATTTAAATTTAGAAAGTTAAAAAAGCTTTAAATTGTGTGATTCCATAAGAAGCCAGTTATGTATATAATATGTGCATGCATACATATTTACATACATACTATACTATACCCACTTTGCTTGCCGAACAGGTTGTACCGGCGCGATATTCTAGCGCTTAGAGAATTCTAAAATGAAACGGTGATCACAGATAAGAGCTTTCGTTGACACTTTTATACATACCTATGTATGTTTTTTGCATTTCATTTCTCAGTGGTTTGATCTATATATGTTCGGGTTTAACGTTAATCATCGAGGGAGGTGTTGAAAATTCCCATCTCTATTGTCGAGTGTTCAAAATGCAATTAGGTTCCGTATACAAAAAATGGTTAAATGCGAGTTTGTAGCGCTTCGCTAAATTCGCATCACCAAATCATGGAACTCGAGATCGTTGATGAAGGAATAATAAAGCGGCTTAGCGACATAATGTTTGGGGGACTAATTCTTCAGTAGAAAGGTGTAGTGATCAACATCTCGTGAAGTATGGGTCAAAAAACTTGGAATGAATGCTTGTTTTAGAGATGGCATTTCAGACTAAAGTCTTTTGCTGTTTTTTGAAGCCAACAAACAGAACGTGTTTTTTGTGTTTTGTTGTTTTGCAAATGGCTCACAGCTCCAGGGCAAAGCTACGACTACTCAAAGCCGGCAAACTTCAATTATTTCGATGATTTTACAACGTTCCCGGAGCTGGGTCTGCTCGCGCGGTGTATAACTTTCAACCCGAACATGTCCCAAAGAAATCGAAGAAGCTCAACTGAACAGGTCCAACAAAAGGCAGCGAATGATCTTTTTAGAGTGAAATGCATAAATTTGATGTTGTTCGTCCCTCATCGAAGCAGCTCTCATTCTTTCAAAAATTTTGATATAAAGTACTACTCCCAGCATCGGTTGAAGGTCTGAAGGTTAAATATATCAAGATGCCGACGTCTGTGATCGTTGTGCATCCCTTCGGTATTATTCAATAATTGAAAAACCGGTCATCTTATCCGGCTCAAAACAGTTTCCAATGTTGAAGAATGTCATATCCCGCTAGCTCGCGGACCGCTTTTGCCATCACAAGGCCGAAATGATAAACGTGATGGTTGCATTTGTATACGTGTACGTCATTCTCTCTTCGTTTCCTTGCGCATTTTAGTCATTCTCGTCGGACAAAGAGAACACAGCTGAGCAACAGCATTGATACCGTTCAAGCCGAGGACAGATGAGAGAGGCATTAATGCCGAAGTAAATCAGATTTGACAAAAATTTTCCCTACATATATACATACATACAAACATTATTAAGATTCAGTCTTTATTTCAATATTGAATATAAATTATGTGCATGGCTTACATAGCATACAAAACAAATAACAATACAACAATAAATTCGGTACAAAAATCTGAAAATCTTGAATATTGTTATACCTCGGTGACGCAGCTCCTCAGCTCTACGAACGCCTCCATCATAATCGTGACTACTTTGAAGTTTAAGGAGGTCTAAGTAAAAATGAATAGTTAATGTTCGAATCAGAATGTTATTAATATCTAAATGCAGTTGTACCTTGCAAAGTTTTGTTCAATATTTTTAGATGCTGGACGCGGCCAGTCCAGCCAAACTGTTCCATTAGCTGATCTTTCCGTAATATATGGAGTGTCCTTAAATGAACAAATGTAAAAAGCAATGAAAAATGACGGAGTTATTTAATTCTACAGGATTCTAATCCTTTAAACCGATAATCCGTTCGACTACATTCTCTTTCAAGTTTCATGTACTCAGAACAGAAAGATTAACAAAACAACTTGCTTATATAATAAGTTAGTGCTGCCCGAAATCGTGTGAGTGTATTCATGAACCCATCAGCTCGTTCCTGCAAGGTCAGCTCATATCATAATCATTTAATCTGATCAATTTACCTTGATTATAGTTAGATAAACTATCGTTCGTAACTTTTCCGACCAACACATGTCTGTACGAGGTGTGAAAATTATGAAATGCGACTGATTCCATAAAAACTCTATATTTCGAAATTATTCTATAACCCTGCCATCCGCTTGGGCAGCTGTGCAACGATTCTAGCGCGTTTTACATGTTTCGTAACATTTCTGGAACGCTTCGACTTGGATGTCCGCGAGTACCCTCGTCACGGCCGCCGGGATGTCCTCAATCGGCTCAAAATGGGTTCCTTCAATCACCGATTTTGTTCTAGGACACAAAAAAATTCACAGGGTGACATATCGGACGAATAAGGCGGTTGTTGCAACACGGCAATCCCTTTAGAGGTCAAATGCTGGGATCTGGGATACGCTGAGGGCGATGTGGCACAACGCGTTGTCGTGATGAATGATCCAGTTACGAGCGATTGACTCGTTTTCGTAAGCTTTCGAGTACTTGGCAATAGTAGACTCGATTTACGGTTTGACCCGGTGGAAGAAAGCCATTAATAATTGTTTTCACCATCGACTTGTTCATGAGAGCTTTCACGCTTTCACGCTTTCACGCCCCTCCTTATGCTCTTTATGCCACCGAAGCACCTGGGCAGGTCTAAGAGCCAATTTTAGCGTATGTTTCCGAAGCTTTTTCGCCCAATTTGGCGCAAAATTTTATCGCGACGCGTTGCTCTTGATTTCGTACGAACACACGTTTACTCCACACGACACAGCAGGCGAACAAAAGAAGTTAGAGCGATGGCGAATTAATCAATGGAGAGGAGAAGGGAAAGGGAATTTCAAAGTCGCAGGGTTCCCACAATCGCGGCCATATAATCAGTCTCATTACTTAATTGTCACACCTCGTATATATTATCATCGCTTTTGAAATATGTAAATACTTATAACAAAGGTAAACAAATTTAACTTTTTTGGCTATAATAAAAAAATTTTATTTTCTTTTAATATATATTTTTTGTTTTGCTTTCATATATAGTGTTACTTATTCCATATTATTTTATTTATTCATTTGACAATGAACTGCGATAGAAGTGTGTATTCTTTTAACTTAAATAAATAACTTCATTAATTTTTGTTCTTGCATAGTTTTTCTTTTTTTTTTTTTGTGAAAACTATATTTCTTTCTTATATTACTGTAGCGGTCATGAACTATTTTTTTGCCTTTGCTCCGACTACTGTTTGTAATGAATTTTAGTGTACTGTATAAGTCTAAATCTAGGCCCTTAATATGATTGCGGTTTTCTTTTTAATAGTTTTTCCATACAAATATTTGTGTAACACATCCATATGCGTATAATTTCCGTAGTATATGTTTAGTAATCTTAACATTTAATCACTACACAAATCGAGTTAGATATTTGAATAGTAGAATGTGTTTTTACAGTAATATTATTTATACATTTATACGCACGGTTAAAAGATATTAAAAAAATTAACTCAATTACTTTAAAATTAAAAGTAATACGAAATTTATATCAAAGAGCTTACAATGATAAATGAGAATGGATGATAAACTGTGCTATGCAATGAAAAAAATTAAACATGACATGGAAAATATTCATTCATATTTGCCGTTCTTAAATCATAATTTTTCTTCTTAATTAGTATTTATAATACACAGCGTCTAGGGATTAACATGAATGTACACAAAAGTTAAATAGGATATATATGTTGAATGCATGTATCTCTATATCTAAATTAACTTATATCGACTTATGTGTAAGCTCTAAAACGAGTAAGGGTTAATTATATGGATCTAATATATTATCAATATACATCTATGAGTACTTTAAGTCAGATAATTGGGTGTTTTACGGGATCGCATAATTGAAAACGTTTCGATCGCTAAGCGAATATGTACTTTGAAAACCTTTAGCTATTCTTTTTTACATTTTACGTGCTTGAATATATTTTGTGTCAAATAGTTACAATCAGTTACTTCAAACAAGATATACCTATAATGTAGCATTAAATTCATAATCAGGATTACTGTCCACATTATATAAGTACTACAGCGAATATTAGGACTGGTAAATCTATATTTATAAATATGATCATTGATGATGAGATCAGAGTAACAATTTTCAACGGTCACTTTTTGATTTCAATAATAGTAATAATAAAAAGGAAAGTTCATTGAAAGAGGTGGAAGATGGAAGCAAATTATATATTTGTCACTCTGTTTTGTTGTAACGTTTGCTAAATTAATTTTAGGATTTTGATTGAAATAAACTTCTAATGTTTTATATATATTTGTTATTCCCTTGAGGAATACTTTATATCAATTGGTATTGCATTAGAAAACCAGTCATATACATATGACATTATAATATTTATGTCACCCGTAATTAAACTCTAATAATCAATTTCTTGGTTAAGGTGATTTACCGCAAATACATTGCTTCTTTTGTATTAAATCTAATCATTCACTTTTAACTCTTTTTTTAGTTTCTTTTTTTTTTTGTTTTATTTTTAGTACTACAATGTAAGTTTCTATTTAATAATTCATTCATTCCGGGAACTCTAAATTAATTTACGAATTCCTCTGAAGCATCCACCCTCTTTCCCACTACTGTTAATTATAAGATGCCCACCGAACCCCTTGTACTGCCAAAAAATTTACATCTAATTGAACGATATTAGTAAATAATCAGATTCATAGCAATATAAGCACGTGCTGAGTGTTGATTTTGGGTCTGTTTAAATGCTTAATATACAGGTATAATTTACGATAGCCTACATAAACCCTCAAACCAACAGCTCATTTATTGGTTAGTCCTCCGTTGCCTTACACAAAAAAATTGATTCGATTTACATTTGTTGTTTAATGTGCTTTACAAAAATTTTGGAAATGGCATTAACCCACTTCTAGGAGGCTTCTAAATAAATGCGATCGATCATATGTTATGCGAAATAAAATTCTTTATGTTTTCATATTGTATGAGTTCTTTTCATTCTGTGTATCTCATTTATTAGGTCCAGGAGGGAAAGGATTTATCACAGCTACGGCAGCAGCTTGCTGACTTGCCAACACAGCAGCTAAAGTACAAACAAAAAAAAAAAAAAAAAAAAATGCGTTAAGCAATATTCGGAACTTGATTTAGACAAAACTTACCTCCATATGGTGCCGTGTACATTGGATAACCTAAGCCGACGTGAGTGTGGTGGTGTGTGTGCACATGACGTTGCGGCGGGGGACTACGTGAATCTGCGGTAACGTTATTGCCCCCCGCTGTCGCTCCACTGATGCTACCACCGCTGCTTGGTCCGTTTGGGCCACCCTGTTGTTTATGTGCATCGATATTTAGCGGCCCTCCTGACAAGCTACCACCCGCCCCTCCTGGGCCAACCAACACCTTCTGATTTAGTACATCAGACTTACTTGGAGGACCACTTAATCCAGATGGCGGAGGTTGTAGATTTAAAGGGATTCCGCTAATCTGTTGAGATGACTGATTTGTAGTTGGCATATGGCCACCGCTATTCGGAGCATTCTGTCCTGTATTGGAACCACTGCCAGGACCACCTGCACCAGCAGTGTTAACGGACTGCTGCTGTAAGCCCACATTAGGACTAGATACGCTGACCTTGACGGCTCCACTTGCCCCACTATTATTACCACTGGTGGGTGATTTAAGTGCACGTTCACTTAATTCATGTATTTTGTGTGTGGTGTAATACTGACTGGCAGCATGGTGAAGTGCATCCAACGCCTTTGTTCCGGTGTTTCGTGAAAGATCCTCTGGCGCATGATATCTGGGCATGGGCAAATGGTAGGGCGCAGCATTGTATGGCCCAGCCGCCGACATTAATACGTTACGGTACATAGGATGATTTGGATCAAAACTAAAAGGTGCTGGAGCAATATAGGATGGATGCAAAAAGTATTGTGAAGTCGGAGGAGGCGGTGGACCTTGAGTCTCCATTGTAGGCTTCTGGCCCTCCTGTTTGATTTTAACTTCTTCCTCTTGCTTTTGCTTAGACACCTCCTTTGTCAGATTTGTAGCTTTACCGCTGCCTGAATTTGGATTGGTATTAGTAGAACAAGATTGGGATTTACTTTTTTGCGACTGTTGCTGCTGCTGCTGCTGCTGTTGTTGTTGTTGTTGCTGCTGCTGTGCCATTGACATCTGCTGCGAATGCTGTGCAGAAGGGCGGCCGTCATCTTCTTTGTGTTGAGTCAGGACTTGGGTTTGAAGAGACCCATGTGGTCCATTGTTGGAGGGATTTTGTGCTCGTAGAGCTGCAACAGCATTTTGGCGTCGCTGTTCATCGGAGAGAATGTAGTACCTTCTTATTTCCTCTTCCCGTGAAAGATGTTGTGCAGCCAAAGTCATTGGATGACGTTGATATATGTTTGGATATGTTCCCAAACCTTGCAAGTCTTTTGGATGCAATGCATGTGGCTGTTGGGGTTGCTGCTGTTGCTGGGGTGGAGGTGGGGGCTGTTGTTGAGGCTGAAGAGGCGGATTGTGCTCTTGTTTTATCTCCTGTTTCGTCAATGGTTCGCTTTTAATGAGCTTCGATGAAAGCAACTAAAAATAAATAAATTTAAAATGATTTGCCAATTGATATTTTTTTAGGAAAAATAATGTCAGAGCTCCTTCAAACAGCAAAAGTAAAAAAAAAGTAAATGTCTTGCGCATTATGGTGGGCTTGGCTAGAGTCGCATAACCGCAAAGTGGTTTATGGAAATGTTGCGGAAAAAATAGTTTTTGGTCTTTTCGGTATCAAAAAACCCGTCTGCAACGGGAACTATTTTAGTCGCCGGAGTGTCGTTTATAGTCGATTTGGGAAAGCTCACTTCAGAAGGACAGATTCTTAATTCGCAATGGGTGGATTGACAATCCGGCCGTCGGCATTAATTCATTGAGCAATGGTGAGATTACACCTTAAACATAACTAAGTTTTAAACAAAGGGGAAAAATTTACCTGTTGCTGTTGAGCTGTTTGTTTGGAGCATTCGTGAGGGCTGGGACTTTCCTTCATCCTTTCATCTTTAATGGCACCAGGATTTGAATGTGGAGGCCCAGTATTTTGAGATTGAGAGCTTGGCAAACCTCCGTGGTTTCCTAATTTTACTCCATCATCTGATGAAACTATTGATACAGGTCCATAGTTTGGTTCTACATTGTAAGGATATCCGGGGGTCATATAACTAGATAAAAAAATATATTAATAAGAAAAAAACCTGCCACCGAAACATTTGCTAGGAGACACTCTTACTTGAAAGGATAAAAATGTGATAAAGGTTTGGCCGGCGAGGGCGTAGACAAACCGGCGGGCCCAACAGCCGATGGACCCAAGGATGACATTGAAGCCATGCCTGGTGGCATACCATTATTTGGAGGACCTATATTGCTTAAGTTTACCGTCGCCTGTGGCGGTTGTACCGACGGGTTGTCTTTTTGATTAGTACCACTATCCTGCGACTGTAGCTGCTGTTGATGACCAACAGCTTGTTGTTGCTGCGATGTCTTCGTAATTAAATCAAGAGGTGGATCTTTATTCTTGTTACTATAGTCTGACAGAAGAGGCAATTGTTGTTGTTGCTGTTGATGTGGCTGTTGCATTAAATGCGATGACTGTATTGCACCTTGTTGCTGAGACTGTGTGGGAGGAAGTGTTAGTGATGGTTGTACAAGAGTAGAGGGCATTAAGCTTTTGCTAGTAGCCTGTGGTGGTGGCTGATCGGAAGAAGTAGGAGGCACCAAATATTGTTGCTGTTGATAAAATTGATACATGCCATATCCACTCAGTGATGGTATGGATTGCGAACCACCTCCCATACTCACAGGGCCCATATCAGTCGCCTTTTTGTTTGATAATTCCATGTGTTTGGGTTGTGATTTATCTGAGATCAAAGTAAACATAAAACATTATATACAACATACAATAATTATAAACACCCCTCATACCTAAGATATCCTGTTCTCCAACTGGCGTGGAGTCATCTGAAATATCACTATATGCAGGACTCTGCACATTGTCCCTTGATGCAATGCCATCAAACTCCACAGGACCGGGAGACTTTCGGCATTTCTTTTGTTTTACTGCAGAAAAGCCTGAAGCGTTTTTTGATGATAATGCCATACCTTAAAATTATTATTTTTTTTTCAGATTAACGTAATAAATTCGGGGCCAAATGATTTTAGTATTTTACCTTGTAAAGTTTGACCCGTTGGGGCAGGTGAGCTGGCATAAGTACTTATTGAGGATTGAAGTTGTTGTTGTACACTTTCCGAGTTCGTAGACAACTGAGTGGGTGCTCGTTGCGGGCTTTGTCCAGATAAGGTGATTTGCTGCGCAGCTGCTCCCTGTGATGCCTGTTGTTGCAGGGCTAATATTGAAGGCGGGGCTCCAGAACCGGGTCCATCGCTCTGGGGACCAAACCTCAGCACGCCAGGTTTCACTAAAATTCGCTTGAATTACCATACTAAGCTTTTTGGAAAAAATTTTTTGTACTCACATCCTCCTTGCTGAGAGAGAGGGGATGCCTGAGATTGTTCGGAATGAAATGCAGGTATATTACTTGCATTCGGCATTACGAGAGACTGTTGTTGCTGCTGAGACAAACCTTGTCCCGAAATACCAGTAGTTATACTTCCACCTGCTACAGGATGTTGTTGTTGTGATTGCGGTATCACCGCTGGTGTAATTGTGTTTGTTAATGCGCCACCAATAGGAGCATTTATAGAACCAGAATTTACAGTAGTTAACGATGGAGATGTATTCTGCATTGGAGAGGAAGCTGTTGGTGTTCCGGTTGAGAGTGCATTGACGACACCAACCACATTCGTAGTACATTCTAAGTCTGCAGTAGCATCTGCATCTGCAGGCTGTGATGATGAAGGTGGCAATATTGAAGCTGGTTGCATTGGAGTTTCAGAAGTGGATGTTGACATCAATGTTGCAGTTGCTATTGGTGGTGTTACTGGTGGCGGTATCGCCAGTCCAACAGAAGTCAGAGTTGAACCTTCTGCGGGAGTCGGGGTTGGGGATGCTGATCTTTGATGTGTTGGTGGGGCCGGTGATGAAGTTGGTGTTGGTGGATCTTCCGGTAATTGTAAGGAATCTTCATCCAGAGAGCAAGAACTGCCATGAGCATGCGACTGATGGTAGCGTAGTCCGTTAGCATGCTTATATTTTTTGCTGCAATCCTGTTCAGGGCATTCAAGTAACACCGGCGATATGGCGCATGGTGAAGCAGTCTTACATTTCTTCGTGCTTATTTGTACATTAAGGCCAGTTACAGGATTGACAAGACTTTGAGGCTGCGTAGCTAGACCCCCTCCAGTTGCTGATATTGGAATACCACTGGCATTCGCAACATTCGTAGAACACTCCGAGTCTCCGTTAACCGGTGATGGTGAGTCGTCTTTCGATTTCCTCTTCTCAGAACGTGGTGGCAAAAATGCAGTGGGTGATGTACTTGGTGTTGGTCCACCGCCGTTTCCCGATGAACTACTGCTGGTCGTAGGTGCGGCATTTGACGTACTTGCGGTAGTAGCAGCAGTTCGAGAAGAGCCACGTCCCCCTTTCGTGGCACCATTTCTCAATTTCGAATGCACCTGCGCATGTGAAAAATATATCTATATACGATATTAATATATCCACATCTAATAAACAAGCAAATTAGATATTTCACTGAACTTACCGAACTTCGTGTTTCGGTGAAATTACTTAAATCTGGTGTGAGAGCGGCACTTCTACCACGTTTTCCACGGCCCTTTGGTGTTCGTGAATCCAATTCTTCAGTTGGCGAATCACAGAATCTGTAAGTTGGCAATATTAAAAAGAAAAGAAATTTAATAATTTAATAAAAAAAAATAATAAATATATGCTTAGCTTTAATGAAAATAACAATACAAAGTTACATGTCATAATACATATTAGTAGCGGCTTTCCCATTTTCCGAAAATTAACAAAGTTTTCGGTTCAGTTAAATAGAATAGCAAAAAAAAAAAAAGAGGAAAATTTTTTGAGCGAGCAAATGACTTGTTTTTTGTTGCTGCTGTAAGCGAAAAATTCTTCTCCAAAACTTGTTTTGTGGACTGTTTAGGGAATGAAGTTCTTGGTCGGATAAAAATCAGTGACGTTTCAGTATAAAGACCCGACTTTCAGGGGAATATTGAATTTTAGTCGCCACTTACGACCGACATGCTTTTACCCCTTCGGGTTAGGGGTTCAAAAATTTCCCTCGGCAAGGCATGTCTGTCGGAAGAGGCGACTAAAGCTCAATAGTTCCAGCGGGTCTTCATACCTAAACGACCTGGATTTTTATGTTGTTGTTGTTGTAACCACAAAAATATTCTTTTTTTTATGGGAGTGTTGCAGGAGTGACAGTCCTTGGTCGGATAAAAATCCGGGTCGCTCCGGTATAAAGACCCGACTGTCGTGGGAACTATGAAATTTTAGCCGCCTTTTACGACAGGCGTGCTTTACCGCCGGCAAATTCTTGAACCCCTAACCCGCAGGTGGTAACCGGATTTGTGTGATAAAACTATCGTTTATAGATGAAAACTTACCTTGGTGGTGCCCAGTCATGCCGCGTGCAGTCAAGTAAAGTTCCCACATAAGTTTTGCCGCGCCAAGTAACATTTACCACAAGCACACCTCCCTCTGTCTCATGCCAAACAATTCCCTCAAGGGTTACAGAAGTTCCCGGCTCACAAGGACCCAGGCAATCTGGTTCTGTTATAGTACCCACCGAGGTACCAATACAAATGTCAACCATTTCTTTTGATGAAGTACTTAATGTATTGGAAGGATCTCCATGTTTTGCTCTCTTAGCGGGAGGAGATTTGGTGCCCTCATCACCAGCGGTATTTATATTGGATGCACCAATGTTGCTTGCCAAATTCGTTGTTGAGCTGCTACAAGACGAGTTCGCGGGTACGGAAATGGTATGGTGTACAGTCGCTGAGATCATACCGGGAGCCATATGTTTTACTTGCGTAGTCGAAACATTTGCAGTGATTGATTTATCACTACTTCCGCTCTGACTGTTTGTAGATGAATTTGATGCACTATTATTAAAAGTAGTGGAAGCAGCTACTGCAGCTAGTTGCGCTGCAATATGTGAAGATATTTTGATATTGCCAGAATTTGTTGTTTCTTTGCCCGGTGGTCCGGGCGCGTTTGGCGAACTGTTACTTCCGCCCGTCTGTGGTGTAGAGGACGCCGGAGCTGAGGTAGCTGCCAGTAAGGATGCAGCAGTGGCAGCAGCGGCTGTAGCTACACCTGAAGAGGAGCTAGCTGAAGGGGTGAATACGCCTGGTGGAACAGATCCACTGCTCATATTGTTATTTGTAGAATTAGGGCCGATACGCTGTGCCAAAACTGTAATTGCTGAATTATTTGTACTCTCCGCTCGACGAGAACAAGCGTGGTTGGTGCAAACACCTGCCACAGAACCGTTTGACGAGTCAATGCTACAGTGACATGGGGTACCTTTATCACTTACGTTAGCTATGCTCTCCTTTTCCACAGCTGATGAAGCATTTTTCTCAGCCATCAAGCGATTGGAATGTGTAGATTTCTCTTTAGCTTTTTCCCGTCTGTGACCCGAACTACCACGTTTATTGCTTTGCGGGGTAACTTGGCCGCTGCTCCCGGTGGTTGTGGATCCACTCCCGGAAGCTGGACTGTTACTATTCATACTGCTGTGGCTATTGCCTTGACTACTGCCATTGCTACTGGAAATATTACCTAGATGCTTTTTATTGCTCCCGCTTATGTTGGTTAAATTTGAGCCTGACACGCTGCCACTACCCACATTTTGAGTGGGACCACTCGAGCTTGCGCCACCAGAGGACGAAGAGGAATGCGAACTAGTATTCATACTGTTGTTATCGTCTAAATTATTCGGATTGCTAACACCATTCTGTTGTTGTTGCTGTTGTTCTGTAGCCTTCACAATTTCGTGTTTCGCTTCAGATGTTTTTGTGCCGGGCTTGGTACGTTTAATTTTCATTTTAAGTCCCTTATCAAGTGTCGCTTGATGATCAATGGACATTTTAGCACTCGATTTTCCACTACCTGAACTGCCAATGCCTTGGGTTCCACCCTGACTTCCCCCAGATCCACCTCCCGCACTACTATTATTGCTATTACTACCACTAGATTGCGATGACATGCCGCTTGTACAATGATTTGTTAGGCTCAAGTGACTGCTTAAGAAATTTGTAGTTAAAGGATTTGCATACGACGACACTAGGCTGCCACCCTTAGAAAAGCCTGCAAATGTCGAGGCGGCTAATGTGCTATTCTTTTGGACGCTCTCAATACAACTTGTAATCGGTGCAGCATCTACAGATAGAGAAGACGATGATAGGAGCGATGGGGAAGACGGTTGGGATGATTTTGAAGCAGCTGAACCGAGTTTTTTGACGTAGTCACCATCCGTTGTGTGCTCTTCATATATGAATTGTGGATTAAAATTGCTACGTTCACTTCGTTGTTGTTTATATTTGCCTTCAATATTTCTTATGGGAAATGTTTTGTTGTTGCTTAGAAATCCGCTGGTTTCAGATTTCCTCGAGGACTCACAAATGTGGGATTTTGGATTTGGGTTTAAATTTTTTTTCTGATATTGAAGCTTTTCATTCGAATAGCACGAAACTGTATTCGTTGTGGCTGACCCACTTAAAGATTTCCTCAACAACAACGAACCAGTTTTACCAAATTCTGTGTTAGGTGCCTTTTTTTTCTTCAAAAGGGTTTCTAAGCAAGTCGATTTTGAAATTAATTTATTTGATACTGAAGATTTGGGTGTTGCTTTTAAGTTTGAAGAATTTATCCCAAGATCATTTGAGCCACCACCAGAACTGTGAGCTTTTGATAAGTTTTGAGCAGCCGTTGATGACTTTTCAATATCTGCATCTAGATCATCTAACAACTCTGGGATACCTCCAATGTCCCATTCGTCTTCGTATTCGAAATTCGTATCTTTGGATTCACATGAAATGGAAGATGAACTAGTTGCTTCTGATACTGCAGGGCTCTCTTTGGAGCCGGCTGCATTTACTATAACTTGTTTTCCAGCTGAATTTATAGAAATGACTCCCTTACTGCTTCCACAACCACCTCCGGTCGAATGTGTTGAATGAGATTTTGTTTGCCCAAAATTTTCTAACGATTATAAATAAAATTTATATAACAGTTGGTTATTTTAGTTCTTAAGTGAAAAATAATTTTCATTGTTCATTTGTAATTTAACTATTTCACTGTTAGAAATATAATATATGTACAATGCGTACTTACTTGAACTTGCCACCTTTTTGTGTGGGATGTGTTTTGTATAGTTATGGTAATGATGCTGTTTAAGCGGCGAATTTAGTCTTTTATTTAAGTTTGAAGCTGGACTAACTACAGTATTACTAGTGTTTCCTACCAACTTCGGATGCTTACTTTCAGTAACTATGCTTTTATTAGTGGCCACCTTAAAATAAATAATGTATGTACATATATAGAATTATTCAGTGTTAAAGAATTTATCAGTTATTCACAAACTATATTTTATATATGGATTGAGATTGGCATTTTTCTGAAATCCCTATTTATATTCTCAAAGCGAAATAATAATAACTTATACTTCTTTGAAAATTATTTCGAAAACGAAAATGTTTTTTTTTTTACAATTAACTAGTATATACATTTGTAATTGGAGCAAGTGCAGAATACATACCATTAAGGCAGAACAAAATAAAAAATTGGGTGCAGTCCGCCCTGTTTTCCTAATTTTGATGATTTTATTTTCCTAGATATTGGGGACGAAGGGGGTTTTCGAAAATTATAAAAAGCTTATCTCTTAAAAAACCACCAGCAGTTCGGAGGCGGTTTAGTATAAACTGTATGTTTCTCCATTTGTTGGAAAAATATCACACAAAACCACAAATTGGAGGAGATGCTCGGCCGAAAAATCGCTTCAGCGATTACAAAGCGCTTTATATATATATATATATCAAAAAGTTGTACACCTAATTTTAAAAGTTTGACATCGTTGGAAAGGTAAGTAAATTCTTTTTTTTTGTCCATACATCAATGCATTCGGAAGATAAATTTTAAGAAAATCCATTAAAATTTAAAAACAAATTTTTTTTAATAAATGATTACATAAAATGAAATTTTCCGCGCTATTTCGAATTGTGATACTTTAAATTAAAGGAATTCTTAACCTTTTTAATTAATATTGTTTTAAGATTGTTTTAATACATACAATATAAAGAAAAGCTTGTTTTTCCATGCTACCTTTTTATTATTAATTTATTAAATTTGGAGTAAAGCTTTTTAAGATATAGCATTTTATATTTTTCGAATATTCCCTCTTCCGCATATCTGCGCTAATAAAAGTTCGTACAAAAAAAAATTTATATAATTAAAATCCTGAAATCAAAGCGGATCACGACCATGAATTCATTTTGTTCTACCTTAACGGTCTGTATTCCGCACTTATGCCTTTGTAATTATGTACATAAAGTTTTTTTTTGCAATTATTGTTATTATGAATATATGAGTAGTTAGATGTTATGTAGAAGTCTTTTCATAAACGAGTACTCATCATGTTTTCTATACATTAGGGCTCACATCGGTACCAGGCGCACGCAACGAACAACCGATAAATGTTGAAAACCCGAGGGACGCTCAAAAACCGGCGCAACGAGGCGAGGGGATGTCGATAACACTATTCACATACATAAACACGCATATAGAAATTTCAACAACAAAAACTACCATTTACAAACGAGCCGAACGTAAGTGGCCCAAGATGAACGCACGAAAGCGAATGAATGCCAATGTTACGCCGACCGAAGCAGCGAAGTAGCAAATTTACTTGTTCTAGCAAAACCATTGTTTAAATTTGTTTTATATATATCACAGCACATCGAATAAACCCACACAACCACAACAGATATCGAAGTCAATTATTCAAATAATAATTCAATTACTCTATATACATTGGTATCACGCCTTCCTTGCTAAAGAAAAGCCGTGAATTTAATTTTCAAATTAATGTATCGATACCTGAATAGTATCTAGTCATCACTGCTATAACAGCGCAAACACACACTTCTCTGCTTTCACTTCTTTTAGTTTCACGACTGCGACGCTTCTTCTCCCTATACTCAAATTTTGATTTCAGCTTTCAAATTTTTCATACCTTCAAGTCCGGCTTGAGCCGGTCTTCTTTCTTTATCGCATTTAATAACAAAATCCATTATTTTATTGAAATATACTGAAATATTTTTATATAAATCAATCAACTACTATGTTCACTCCCGTATTCCTTTCGATATAATCCGTAGCCTGCACCACTAAACCAGAGATGTTTTTAGTCACAGCAGAGCTCTGCTAGTTGTTTTTGTTTCCTTTTATCTCAGAATGACATTAAGTAGGAATATGAAAACATAGCACAGAGTCGCATGAGTTTCGATGTCTAATGCTACGTTTACATTGCCCATGTTTTGCGAGTTAATTGTAATTGGATTTTCTTCCCCCGTCTAAAATTGAAAACCTCAATTCTAATAAAAATTAGAACTTGATAGCAAATAGCATGTAGCTGTTTACTAAAAATGTAGAACTGAATATTTCACAAACAAAATTTTTAGAATATACATATGTGCTAATATACTTTATTACTTTACGACTTCATCTATGAAATTCACACTGAGTTCTTCAGAGATTCGTCGTCTATATATTATTTTTTATAATTCTTCAGATTAATTAAAATTTACAATCCCTGACTACGAATAATCGTATTTAAATATTCTGAAAATATCATCCATTGTTCTCTGAATTGGCTCATTATTTTAGGAGCGTGAAAAAATGGTTATTTTTATATTTACCTTATTCGGGTGGTGGCTAACGTTAACCTCACTGCGTCTCATTGATTCCATACAGACCCAAAAGTGAGGGAGGTTGCTTGCTGCGGGCTCGCACAATGCAACACTTCCTCATGCAGATAAGATAATTTGCAATGCTTTGAGGTAGGGTTTTGCTCGGACAATATTTTATAGCATAACTGTTGAACATTGAACGGATCGGGCCTTGGCCCACTGGCCAATTTATACATTTTTATCTGTAAAATTAAAAGTCACTTCATTTTAGTACAAACTCTCAAAATAGTAGTATTAATAAATTGTACCTATATAGGAATTTAATGGATCGACATTTACAGCGGCAAAAAGATAACTCGACACTCAAGGTGTAAAACTTCTTTCATGGTGCTAGTGTTGCCCATTTTATTCTTAATACACTATGACAGTCCCTGAGCAAAATATTAAAACATAAAAAATTCAGTACGCAAAATAAGCACATAGTATATAGTACATAGTACATTTGCTAAGTTTACATGGAAGCCGTTGATAACTTTTCCATGGATATACCTATAATATTTGGGTTGGTGACGATGATGTCCGCGTGACATTGTCAACCAAATGACGTTGGCGATTCCAAGTACGAGTTGTTCTTAAAACCAATTACAATGTTTCTAGTGTGTTGCCCACTTTAAATTATCACTTAAATTGTACTCTCGTATCGTATAGGTCTTTATAATTTTATTGTTTTTTTTTTTTAATTTGAGTTTCTTCTAATCTGATTAAAATTATCACACAAAAATTCGGAAATGTAGTTGTTTAGAATATTAAATGTACACAAAATTATTGCACATTTCATTTGAATATGTATTACCGCATTCGCATGCATAGCAAATACGAATTTTATTAAATATGGAAGTTACAATTATCACAAATGTACATACATACCTGTATATTTCTGAACTTTATCTGTGATAAAAATGTTTGCAAAAATCTAAACTTTTATTCTCTTCCATATGGTTAGAGCGAGAGAAAATCAGAGCTTTTTTCCGATGTAGCACTTTGTTTTTGACGCCCTTTTGTCACAAAATTTTTTCATATTTGTAGGTACTTCGGAATATATATGTATACACTTATTGTATAAGATTTTTCCTAAACAAATTTTACCAATTAGCGATATCTCCTAATAAATATATATGTGCATTTGTATATGAATGTATATGCTTATAAACTTTGCAGTTTTTATCGAATAGGTACTTGGAAAAACTGCAAACCTGTAGATTACTTCTTTTATTAATTTTCCATATAAAAATATATCTTACTTTGACTTTTATACGCAATTTCGTCGGACGCCGAGAAACAATTTATACATTTTCAATTAAGATACATCAATTACTTCACTCCACTATACAAAAATATATGGCAAATTTTCACTTTTTGCCTTAATTAATTATGATTGTGTGCGAAAAAGTGTATGCTCTTTTATTCCAAACGATCGGTTTTCACAGGTCTTAAATCAGTTTATTACTCTTTTGCTATTCCAAATAACTTATTTATTTACTTATTAAAAAAAATTGTCAATTTGATGAATCGAACTAACCAGTAATGTATTAACGTAATGTCCACCTCCCGTTGTAAAAAACGCATGTGTATGTATAAATAGAGTAGATTATTCGGGCACAGTAGAATATTCAGGTTCAAAAGCCGCCACTGCATACAACAGAAATTTCTCTTTTGGTAATTCTCAGAGAAAACCAGAGCTGCCACTAATTTATTAAATGGACACGAATTAGAGTTTTTAATCTTGCATGCAACCAGTTTTTGGTTATCAATCTTTCAGCTTTTATTGCAATTGTTTATTATTTTGTCTTACAGAAGACCATAATTTTAGTATACAATTAGTGTAACCCTAATACTTATATAAGGGCATTTGCACATGTACAAATAGGCAAGAGTATACATATGCATGTGTAAACAGAAATTGAAAATGTAATCTAAGTATTTATGATTGAAGCCGACTCCTCTCTGAGTGAAATGGCTTTACGCACTTGACCAATTTATGATTTACGTTTCCTTCACTTTTCACATTATACACACACATATAATTTAAAACAGTTACGCATAAAAATATGAAAAGTCCGATTTCTCTTTAAATATTCGAGTTCACTTGTGAGCAGTCAGATGCGAAACAAATTCTTTCTCATTGGACTGACAATTAAGCATTTCAACACCGTGAAATATTTACACATTAAATGCTCTTTCCCATTTTCTTATTAAATTCCTGAAGTATATTAACCAAGTTTCATTGTATTAAGTCAAAAGTTAGTGATAAAGACGTGAATATTTAATTGTTATTTGCACTGTCTATACACCGAACCACTAATTAATTCGCCAATCTCTCTTAATTTTTATTGTAATTCATTTCCAACACAATACAATCAGAGTTGATATAAGTTCACTTGAAGTTCATAATGATTTCAGTTTTACAAAATTGAGCTTCTTTCGGGGTACATAAATCCACAATTCATTTCTATGAATATTGCCAGATGTGCAAAAAGTGGTTTCATATGATGTAGTAGAAACCATCAAATAGTGGACAAAAGAAGTCGAAGAAGAATTATCTGCCTATGAACAAGAAATCTCTCAACAAATACTCCGAGATCTCATTGACAATATTAAACGAAATTCCATGTCTGTAGTTAGGGAATATCTATACCATGAGCCTTAATAACTCCGCACTTAATTGAATTTTCTGTGGGCCGAACCAAGTAGACCGTGACATTTTCCCTTTACAACTTTCTATTGCTGCAAGCGTTTTGAGCATCATTTTTTGTACTTTGAGTTGTAATTAGAAATTTGTGAACAAACTAAGCAAAAAGAGATAAGGGAAAGCTGTGTTTTGCTCCTTCAGCGTCACGCAAATTGTGATATTTTGTTTTCTAATGAATAACTATTCGTATTGCAAGCAAGCAATAACCCATGAAACGACCGTGTTTATGAAACTAGTACGTCTGAAATTCCCGTTGACGAATACGCTATCGAAAGGTATCAAAACACCACCCGCGTTATGGCTTGGGGAGCCATATCTGCAAAAGAAAAGTTGTCCATTCCATTAATTGACAAAAACGTAAAAATATAATATTTGGACGAAGTGTATCAAAGCTATTTGACAGTAATCCATGTTGCTTTCTTCTCTGGATCTCAGTCCTTTGGGTTCTGCATATCTAAATTCTTGATTTTCAATCAGATTTGGAACACAGAATTAATGAATGGATGAAACTTACGGCTCAACTTCAAAGGGACCTTTTACATAACAAAAACTGCTGCATAACTTTTGAGCTTTTCCACGCCGATCTCAAGGGAACTTAATGCCACCACAAAATCTCTGAAGTGCTTCCGAAGTTTTATTGAACGTTACAAGGAAAGGTTTTGACGCAAAATATTTTTAATACGAGTAAATTTCACATGTATATACACATCTATATTCATACAAAATATTTTTTTATGCCGAATTTCAGTTTATTATTTTCGCTTGCCATCGTTTTTTAAGCCCGGCTCTGATTTCAACTTTTCCAAAAAAATGGGCTGCATGTCAGTAAACCAGCAAATCTCTTCGCATCGAATTTTCACCGGTCCATCCTTACAAGTCAGCCAGTACGTTCGCATCAGACCCTTACCCTAAAATTAAATGCAATAAATATTTATGCGTACTATATATATTCTCATACTTGTATATGTATGTACATAAGTTCCAAATAAATAAAAGATTATTGCTTAAGTAATCCATTTGGTAGGAAGCAAAACGTAATGCCTAAAAGTATGGCAGAGAAAATATTGAAAGGTTTTGCCAAATTAGCTCGACCCTCGGCAGTGGATGTCAAGCCCAACGAGTATATTTTTAATCTGAAATAAAAGCTTTGTAACTGCTGAAACGATTTTCGGCAATCGCAAACGACTATTGGGATTGGTAAGATGAAACGCCAGCTGCTTGGCGCGTTCAACAATTACTTTGCGCTTTTTGGATGATACGCCACGAGCGATTTCACCGCAGTATTAACAAAACTCCCTATTCTCTGACATTGTGAGCCAAGAATTTCTTGAAGCCAGTTGGCGGCATACGACGAGGGCGTTTGTTTGAACCATAACCAATGTTGGCGTCAAATACTGACCCTTGAAACCTTCTTCACAATTTTTGGTCAGTAGTCTGGGCGTATCACCACCTTTACGCATTTTTTCAGAAGAGCACGTGGCTTGGCTATCGATGTTAAAATATATTGATTTTTTTGTAGTTTCTGCGGTGCTACCTATCTCCACAGCTCTCCCTATTGCAAAGACCTCTGTCTGGAAAATACCATTGTATTCCGGAAACTTGAAGTCTTGCCTGCGATCCACATAGTTCAGTACAATTGGCTACATTTCGTGACTCCAATTACGATGAAAAAGTAGAAGATTTGGAAAAAGTGCTTCGAAAATTGAATCAGAAGCATGTAAAAAAAAAAGAATTTTGTAGTAGCAACGAAATTATTGCACTTACAATCTTTCCTATTTATGAGTGTAAATATGTACATATGTATATGACATTCATTGATACATATCTATACATACACATAATAGTTACGCAAGAGTATGTAAAAGTGGTAATGTATGCACATTTTAATGACAAAAAAATCTAATTTACCTTAACGTTAATAAGCCCACGGTGTTCTGTACGAAAGCCACCGATCCTATGCAAAGCATCATTCATTTCGTCCGTGATGTGAATTTTATGGGATTCACCAGTAGACTCCATACGTGATGCTGTGTTAACAGTGTCGCCAAAAAGACAGTAGCGCGGCATTTTCGTTCCGACGATTCCAGCCACCACAGGTCCGGTGTGGATGCCGCAACGGATTTGTAAGGTGCCAGTTGACCGTGGAATTTTGAAAAAAGAAGAAGCGTCCAGTAAATCAAGCGCCATTGTGGCAATTTCCGAAACGTGTTTTTCGCCTGCCCACCGTCCGTACAAGTGGAGCGGCAAAACGTGCAGCCGGATGTAAAGAGTTTTTTTTCCATATAAATACAAGCGGATTATTATTAGTGCAAAGAGGCAAAAGGAAGAAAAGACTTGGTTGAGCTAATCATATTCTTCGAATTTTCGCTATAATATTGTATAAGACTCATTATTTGCAAACATGTACATGTGTATGAATTATTGTAAATGCAATGATACACTGAGGATATACGAGTGTCATGTACACGTAAATTAGTTGTATGTATGATAAGCATTTTAGGGTAGTTCGAAAATGCATGTGAATCAGCGGCAGCGGGAATGAGCGTTTGATTTTTAAGTTCTAAATCCGGTTAGAAAGGACACAAAAAACTGCTCGCAATTTAGTTTATATATATTTCCAGCGAAAGCTAGTTGCATTATTGGAACCCACCTCTCCTCTCTTGCCCGGCCTCAATTAGAAAATTTAACTTAGTTTTTTATTTAAATTAAATTCCTTCAATTTTGGATTTGAACCCTGGCCTTCCGTATGGCAGTACGCACTGCTAACCATCCGACTATCGCAGCCGCCAATAAAGCGCTCAAAAGTAAAGGATTTGCCGGGAAGGGGAGCTCGGATCGTTTGATTGACATGCAATTTCGTACACAGATAATTCTTTGCCTAAACTGACATATAAAACACTTTGCCTTCCGGGAAGTGGCTCTGGAGCCGATTCGATGTGGCAATTTTGCTTAATATGTGGCAGCTCTTTGCATAGACTAATATGTGGAAAACTTTTCTTCCTCTTTCATATATTTTAACATAGTAATTTTGGAGTTACAATAAAAGAATCCACGTAAATGAAATAAAATCAACTACAATTCTTGTGAGTTTCCTCTCCGAGACCGCGTCAATAAACAATTTGCAAAACACCGAAATCTATGATTTCCTTCAGAGGAAAGGAATGAATCCACGTGTACATGTGTATGTGTGCAATTACGTTTTATGAAGCACTTACCATTTATCACTGGCAAGCCGGATGCAACCATATAAGAATCTCCTATTGTCTCCACTTTGTAAACGTCATAACACTCAATTCTCTCATCGAAAACGCGATAAATGGAGTTCAGGAAGGTAACCACCTAAAAGATTTAAATGCATACGGGTATGTACATATGTATGCCATATTTTTATGATATTAAATATTTATGTATATATGTAACTTGGCTGCCGCGGTTGCCGAGTATTTATCATTGCGTGCTGCCATTCGGAAGGCTCAAGTTCAAATCCCGGTGCCGCCAACATCCAAAAGTTATAGAAAATTATTTTAAAGAAAAAATTAAGCTAAATTTTTTAATTGCGGTCGCCCCTCGGCAGGGATTGTCATGCCCTCCGATTGTATTTCTGAAATGAAAAAAAGGCTCCTCATAAAAAATCGTCAGCCGTTCGGAGGCGGCTAAGTACAAACTGTAGGTCCTTCCAGTTCCATTTGTTGGAAAAACATCAAAACGCAAAACCACAAATTGGAAAATCGCTTCAGCGGTATATATATATAAATATGTATACACATATAACTTATTCGCATAAATGGAATTACCACAAACCTCTAACGGTGTGCATCTGGCAGCTATTTCAGTAAAACCCACGATGTCGCTGAAGTAAACTGTTACAGCCTCATATAATTCAGCGGGCACCTGTTTTATGAAACACAATAAAAAACACATTCAAACATCCATAGGCACTGACTTTTCTAATAGATTTCAAGGGGCCTCACTCGCTCTCACCTGTTGAGTTTGCTTTAGCTGCATTGCAACACTGGGCGGCAACATTTGGAAAAGCAAGGAATCACTTTTCCGCTTTTCTCTCTTCAACTCCCTGGCCTTTTGAGCTAGGTTCACTGCATACAGCTTGCAATAACATCGAAAGGGAACACATGGAATTTTATTTACCGTTCCCATGGTGTTGTATATAGTATACTTGTATACGTGTATTTACGTCTCACTTACCTGAATAGTAGCAGCGGCATTTTTAACCAAAATTATAATAATCGGAGAAACACATAGAACGACCACCAAGATGGCTATACCCACAGCCTCCTTATTTGCAGCTTCAGCGAGATTTGTATCCACGTATTCTCTGTTAAATCACACGCGAGAGCAATACATATACAATAAGCGCGCTGAATATATGGAAATATATTCTTACATTAAACTCGGTTCGGTGAGCTGATGGGCAGTAGCATTTATCACCGAACAGAGCTTAAATAATTCACCTGGTTTTCCTTACTTACTTAATTTTGTGTCGCAGAGCCTTTTGTAATATTCGCAAATCATCTGTAAAGTTGTGCATAGCGTCGTAATATTGTATTGCATTGCGCTCGTCAGATACGCCTTGGATATTTTTCAAAACATTTACATTCCTGCAAAACGGACATGCATACGTAAATATATACGTATACAATATGTATGTAATGATATACTATGAGTGTACATAATGCTATATACCAACATTGCTTTTAGTTTTCTGTATTTATCGGTCCTGGTTATATTCAAATACATTGGCTTCAGGCTGGGAACATAGGTCAAGGTCGAGTTAATAAGTTCACGCGATAGAAATTCATAGCGAATGAAAGACACCAGCGCGTCCAAGCCCAGATACCCTCGCCCATAGTATTTAATTCCAAAAGAAGCCGCGATGTTCTGGCATTCAATACTTTTTAGTAGATTTTTGAATCCAATCAGATAGCTAATGGAGTAATGAAAATTTAAAAAAACTACGGAAACACTTAATTGGTTTGAATTACCGCCAAACGCCACTGTTGTCAGTTTCTTTTATCTGTTCAGTGAGATGATGTAAGAGAGCCCGGTTGATTGCAGTGTACCAATTCATGACATCCGTTATTGAATTGTCTTCGGGCTCGGATCGAACACGATCTCTAAATCAGACATAATGTTAATTACAAAAAAAAATGATTTGAATGAGAAATTAAGGGCGTAGATCCCCTAACGATGAAGTAGTTGCTAATTGGAAATAATAATGTCAAATTAAAGATAAAATAGAAATGTGAGTGTAGCCTTTTAAGAAACTATGATTCTAAGATCGATGAGCGCTGCCAAAAGTCTTACGAAAAAAAAGAAATAGTTTGTACCTGAATTCATTTAGACGATTTTGAAATTCTGACCGGTTAAGCATAACCTCGAAATCTTCATCTTCATCTGGTAATGTGGGCACACTCACTTCGTTCCACGTTGTTAAATTATTCAATGCGTTATCTGTCACAGCGAATCTTCGTGTTAAGTTTGATCTAATTTGTTGTTGAATTACAAATTGCTAAGCTAAAATGTGAAATGAAACCAAGATTTCTTACCTTTCTAGGTTCCCATTTGTAAAAATAAAGAAAGACACTTCCGACCGTTCCAGTTGTAGACGGGTTACAACCTTTCCCAAATTTGTTGCTATTGTCACCTGTTTTCATTCAAAATAAGAGGCAATTAAGGTGGATGTGTACATACATATGACACATGTTATATACATATAGAAATACATATATGTGTGTATATTATACATTTTGGAGCATATTTGGACATGCTAATCAGGATGTCCACAAAGTCATCGCATTTTTGTGAATATACAATAATGTCTTTGACTCCACCCATATTATGCTGCTGTGTGCGAGTATACTCCTATAACAACCTATAACAGCAGACAATTTATGCCAACGGTACCTTATGAAAAGCCTCAGTCGCTCAGTGTCATCGACAAGCACAAGAAAATGTCGACGTCGAAAAGCTCCAAGCACAAAAGAGAACCAAACAGTTTTCTACTCGACCTGCCTTCCTCCTCTCTGAAAGTACTCATCAACAACTCGGCATAAGGGGGAAAAAAATAAAGAGGTCGAAGTTCGTCAGTGTGAAGAGTTTCAAAATCTAGCCTAGATTCATAACTCCTACGAAAAGATAGTAAACTCTTGTACCCGGAGAGGTGATCTAGCGACTGATACCCAGAGTATACTGAATTTATGAAGGAAATACTTTATGGAACAGATGTTTCATTGTCCGACTTTGAAGAAATTTAAATAGCAATAGCCATAGATGAATCGGTGTTAGGAGTTTTCGAGAGTTGAGAGTCAATAAAATTGTGCTAGAATGAGATTTGAAATCAAGACACAAACACGTTTCGCTGAAATCACTATTAGATTTGTTGGCTTTGAAAGCCACTTTTTGGCATTTTGTAATTATCTTGAAAACCAACTATTGGCAAAATCAACTTCTTGCGCTAACTAATCAGAGCCACTTTTCACTTTGAATTCGGACGAAAGTCGGATTCGGTATTACAGATTTGCCTATATAACTATATTTATATTTGTTTATAAATCTTTCGTTACCATTCATCTTCGACCAGTCAGTCGCCTTCATCTTAGTTGTGGCTACTCCTGGCTACAAACATTCATTAGTATTTATGTACGTACATACATACATACATACATACATAAATAGATATATAATGGATATTATTGGAGCGATAAATTTTAATCTAAATGTATTGAGCCATCATTCTTGATGTTGCATTAATGAAGATGAAAGTCGCACGAAGGAGTTCTGCGCCTGGGGGATACACGAGCGACGATTTAATTTTGCAGCTATTACAAATGCAAATGAGTGTAGTTAGGAAGCAGCCAGGACTTTAAAAGAAATTGTAGACTTTAATTAATAAAATTAATGCCAGCCGCGGTAGCAGAGCGGTTAAAAAAATTAAGTTAATTTTTCTAATTACGGTAGCCCCTCGGCAGGTAACGTCAAGGCCTCCAAATGTGTTTCTGACATGAAATAATGCTCCTCATAAAAAAACCATCAGCCGTCCGGAGGTGCCCCCCCCCGTTTCTGGGAAAAACATCAAAACGCAAAACCACAAATTGAAGGAGGAGGTCGGCCGAAAAATCGCTTCAGCGGCTCTGCTTGATAAACCTACACGTATATCTAAAAACCATCCTCATAATTCTGAGCTATATTTTATGCAGTGATAAATGCCTTATTTGCATTGTGTCTCTCTGTAGCGAAATTGCTCACTCCTCAAAAAGGGACTGCTACTCTGATGTCGTGAATGCCACTGTGTGACAACGTCAAAAGTCACTGCAGATGTAAGCTTTTCGTGCAAGACACCTAAGCTAGTAGTGGTTGAAATTTGCTGCGGAGATTCTATGTACTGGTACATGTGTAGGTATGTGTATTTGTGTGTGTTTAATTTATATATGAACGGAGAATTTATTAGTCGTTGTTGAGCACGTGATCACAGTATTCCGCCACAGCTGGCGATTCGCCGTTATCAAACTCCCGTGGCATTGATGTAAGTATGTACATTGCTTAATGGAGAGGGATGTGATACAACGTCTCTTACCTGCGTTTCTATATCAGCTACTTCTGCCCTGTAGTCAAGAATTTCCTGGAGAATGACCGATGTTTGAACAATGAGTGCCAATATTGGAATAAATGGCAAAATTATCATCTAAAATATAAACATAAAAAGAAAGAAGAGCAAGAAATGAATTCTTATTTAATCGCACCGGTTTCGAACAGAACTATACATTTGGACTATGTATGGATGTGTGGGCGTGTATAGCCATGCGTGCAATAAGAAGAAATAAAAAGAAGCAGAAAACGACATGCTCACCTGCATCAGCTGGATGCGGCGACCAGTTTTAATGGCCGGATTTCGAGCAGCAGCGCTGCAGCATTTTCCCTCGACAGCAGTCGAAACATCCTCCGAACTGAGCGAGCGAATGGACATTTTATCCAAATGGTTGTTCACTGGTAAATTCTGTTGAAAGTGTTGGTTATGTTGGGAGTTGTTTCGGAAATGGAACTCGTGAACAGCGTCTTCCTGCGCGTGTCCGCACACTTTTAAATTATTGTGTTGTTCATTCTTACAAATATTAGAACTTTTAATATCCGAAGTATTTTTTTTGGTTCGTTTAAAATAACAATTTTCGCTGATATCAAATTTGGGATTAAGTTGCTTTGCAACATGTTTTCCTACGACATTTCTCTCTGCTTCTGCTTCCTTTGCGGTATCAATGGCAATCTCTACTTCCTTTCGTATAATTTTCTCTTGTGTTTTCGGAGTCGTTGACATTACTGGAACTTTTCAAAATCTGCTCTAAAATTTTATATTTCGATCAAAGATTGCCAAACCTATAAACCTCGCAAAAGTACTTATAGAAGTGAATTTCTAATTTTAGTAAGTAAGTTTTGCATCTGTGTCTTTCTGCCGAGCTCCTCCTCCATTTTGTGGTATGCTTTCATTGTTTTTTTTTTGTTTTAAGAAATTTAGGCACTTACAGTTCATACTAAACAGAGGGAACTTTATGAGGCCGCCTTATTTCATGTCAGAAATACACTCGGGGAGGCTGACATTCCCAGCCGAGGGGCGACCGTAACTAGAAAAATTAAATTATATTTTTATTTAAATTAACCAGGGCTGGAACGCTGCTGGTCTTCCGAATGACAGTACACATTGCTAACCAGTCAGAATTCGCGGCCGCCACTCGGCTATTAAGTTAGTTAAGGAATGATCAAATTTATATTATAAATTTATAAAAACACTAAATTGACCCGTCAAATGCATCGCAAAACAGTTAGATGAAACATATTTGACGTTAGTCTACAGGTATATAACAGGGTCATCATTAACACATGCTCACTGACATACAGCCGTATGCTAATTTGTAGCCCCAGCTAAGTTAGCATCAATTAAACAAATTGGAAAAAATGTTGAATCTATATCCGTACGTATGCCAGTTAGTGTGTGTATGCTACGAATGTATCGAATGTATGAAACCTTTCTGGTGCATATGTGACTGTAAGCCATGCAAAAAATGTGATTAGTCGGAAAGTAAACAGGTCACTAGCAAGTCTGCGGCCGATATTTTCTTCTTCCTATGCTTTCTGTGGTGCAAGGCGTTTCCTGGCGTTCAAAAACAAATTTCATGAAGAAACCCTAATGAGTCCGAAATTATTACGGGGATTCATCGAAACTTAAAAATGTCTGATAAATACATGCATAAATACATTTACCACTTATTTTGCTTGTAAAAACAAGAGATGAGACGAGAGTAATAACCGCACGATCGACGAACGCATGATTTCTCTTGGAATTATCCCGAATACTTCATTCGCTAGTTGTTTTTGTACTCAATCGGAATTAACCCACTTGATTTAAAGAAAAAAACATTCTACTCTGTTGCCATTCTTCAAAAGTAACAGCATTATCCTCTCTTCTACAATCCTATTTATATTAATTATCATCGCTTGATCTTAGATCTCAAAGCTAAAGTGTGCGCCAGCGCGTATGGGTAACATTTGACACATCCTCACTACTAAATTCACCAATCTTATTGCGAATATAATTCAATACTGTAAAATTTAAAAATTGGAGAATCTTCACTAAATTACTTCAGCTATGTCTTTTCGTCTCTTTTTTTGGTGTAGGCAAATTATACAGCAGCGCCGCATTTGTTCTTTCGTTTCGCTGTTTGGCGACAATCGTAAATACGAAGTGGCCAATCGCCGACTCTTCAAATGTCCTCATCGTGCATGTATGATGCAGAACGTTAATGATGAGCGACTTGTGGAGTTTGTTCTTTTTGGAAGAGAAATTTTCTTTCCTTTTCAGGTGACTACTCGATCCAAAGTAGCACCTGTTGGTAATAGTCATTCTGCGTTAGATTTCATGGTGTGGACGGTGATTCTTATATGGACGAAGTTATCTAGAAAATCATTGAAATTACGGTTCACTAGCAGAAGACGAATATATAATTGGCGCTTTGTAACCGTGAGTGAAGTGATTTTCGGCCGGACTTCTGTTCCGATTTGTGGTTTAGCGTCTTGATATTTTTCCAACAAATGGAGGGACCTACAGTTTATTCTAAGCCCCCTCCGAATGGTTTATTGACATAAATGAGGAATTTTGCTACTCATGTCATAAATACACTCGGAGGGCTTAACTTACCTTTTGTGGATGTTGGTGGAAGCAGGGCTCGAACCCTAAATAGAGACTCTGTATATTGATATTTGTGCGTATGTGAGTACGGCAAGGACGGGAGTTAAAAGTACTCCGCAACAGACTCTCCAAAATTGGCATACCTACGCGAAATGGCTTACAAAACTGCTCTTAAAGAAGAATTCCATGAACTTTTGAGAACTTTCATTCAAACGCCAGTTTTAGCAGCTAGACAATGTGCATTTCGAAGTAAGTTTTTTATATTGTGAACCAACGAAGTTCACCAGGTTGCATGAGACGACATGAATTAGTTCCCAGCTGAATTACAGAAGGGCATATTGCAAACACTCCAGTGTTATCCAAGTGAACCAAGTAGTCCAATATTTCCATTTGCAGGACATTCAGTTACTTCCTCATACAAACATACATATGTAAGCGTTATTTGTTGGGGGAATAGTATATTTTATTCGCACATCCACACAGGGTAAATATCGAAAAGTTGTAGTATTTGTGTACGTATGTGCATATGTATTTATATGTGCATACATACATATATTTAATCATCTAGACTTACATATGTATGTATATGTATACAAAAGTAAACGTGGATATGTTTTGAAAACAATCTATTGGCTCTTTATGGGGCGTACATGCATCTTTACGTATGTATGTATATACATATATACACACAGAGGTGTGTCATTATAAGTATATAATCATAACAGCATATGAATGCGCCATAATTCGTTTGATTAAAAACGGAATTACACACTTTGAACGTCACATTTACGCTTTTACAATTTTGCAACGTCTGCTCTCATTTGCTTTATAATCACATTCGAGAATTTTTATTGAATTCAATTCATAAAAAGTCTTGCACTTATATGTGTGCACATATGTTATATTTTACTATATTTCACAAATTGTTATTAAAATAAAAAAAAAATTAAAAATCATTTGAATAAGTTTTCCGTTGGTTTAACCGTTTTAATAGTTTTATTATTTTAATTCAGATTCAAGCTGTGAGGAATTTTCCTTTTTCATGTATTTTCAGAAACAAAGAAATCTAAATTGAAAATTTTCACTCCTCGCCGTAGCAGTAAGGAATTCTACTAAAAATATAATAAACATACATACATACTTATGTATATAAAGCCGTATATGATAATCATACATAATAATATTTACTTAATCATAAAAATACTATTAACAAAATAAAATATAAGAGCGGCTCAACTTAAATTTCCGTAGTGGAAACTTTGCTTAGGAGATTTGCAAAAGTTCAGAAAAAATATTTCAGAAAATTCTTTAAAATATACATATGTATGTATATATGTATATCTAAAATATGGCTTAAAATTTCAAACAAAATAACTGCTTATCCGTTCGGTGCTCTACTCCGATTTGTGGTAGGAGGAACATCACCACAGAACAGTGTATGAGACACTTGTGGATCCCCCCGATCTCTGGTCTCTGGCTTAGCTCGTAGATACAAGAATCTTTAAACTAAAATACGGAAAAGATTTTTTGTAGAGTCTACTTGGAACTAAGTAACCATACATATGTAAGTGTATTGCATGCGAAACTCCCATTAATTTCTTTATTCAGAAAACCAAAGGATCCTGTTTGCTCGTAGAATTTTAATTATTTTTGTAAAAATCAGCAGACTCCAGTGTTCTCGTAGAATAATACAAGTTTTCTGCTTTAAAGCTTCAATGATCACTGCAGTTAAAATTAAAGATTAAGAGTATATATATCTGTATGTATTACGAATATTTGCAAAGTTAAATTAAGTCGTCCAATTGTTTTATTAATTATAACATTTTTACGGACATTATAGTTTTGGATTAGATGTTTTTGGAAAATCTTGTTTCAATAATTAACAGTTTTAATGCACAATTTCCAGTTTCAGTTTGAATCACAAGCGAAGAGGACACGACAGTAACTGAGGACAGATTGGTTGCGCTTTGATATTTATGTGAAAAGGATACCGCTGACGGCGCATTACACCAGAGGCGTTACATCTAACGGTTACAAATGCATGTATAGCTATACATATTTTCCACTATTCATTGTAAGTCCTATATTGTTTTATTTGCTACCAATTGGTCCGAAAACCAGTAAACAGATTTCACCAATTTCGGAACGTGATGAGATTGGAGATATTCATAAGAAAACTACAGCAGAAGAAAATTTGAAGAAGATTCAAAAAATTAAGCCATGCAAAACGAAAACCTATAAGTCCAGGGGCGCTTGAACTTTGACTCGAGAGCAGAAATCGAAGAGAAATATGATTCCGATGACCTTATCACACTGATGATTGTGAAATCGAAATTCTACGCAGACATGTTTTGACACCCTACCAAATAAATAAGAAGCATATAATAGAAAATGCAAGTGCATGCAAATTTGGCTTATATCCTTAACATTTAATGTGGAATATAACATTATTCATGCGGCTGCCGCTATAGCCAAGAGTTGCGGGGTGCGTACTGCAGTGTGAGTCGTCGTGGGCTTGAGTCCTGGTCCGACATTCCACCAAAATTATAGAAAATAATTTCAGTCTGCTTTCCGATTCACAATCGAGCTTGTTTTGCAGCGGGTGAAATTGTTGCCGCCAAAGTAGTAAGAATTTCATTGCGTTAAAAGATAGGAGCAATAAGTTAGATCGATGAAAAAAATTCTTTTAAACTTTTCATAAATGTATTTTGCAATAAAATTTGTTTGTTCTTTTTTAATTTTGATAATTTGGAAAGTGGTAGACGTGGTAATAAGGTACTTAGCACCTCTAGAACAAAACAAATTGATTTATTTGTTAACCTGATGGACCCATAGCTTGATATGAAAATCAATCGTCACCAATGAGTAACGTTACGCGCACCCAGAAACTTATTGTTTTTTATGTGGCAGCACTGTTAGCATCGATTATGCTATCGCCGTACGTAGTCGACTATCCCATCTTCAATTGCAAATGCCAGAGAACGTAAATACAACGAGAAGGTTCAATTGCGGACCAGCGTGGAAACTGTCAAATGAGCCAGAACGCGATGAGCGTTTTTTTCACCACTGTCACAGGAATTAACAGAGTTTTCTATTAGCGTATAACATTGGTGAGCGTAGTTGTAATAAATCTGCTCTGAAATGTAATTACCCGTCTCGAAATAACATTGTTGTATGTTAACCTTAGATACAAAACTTTTTGTACGTTTCATATCCAAATATTCGAAAATATTATTTCCAATCTTTGTATGCATCAATAAATTTTCAGATATGAAAGAATCAAGTTTTAATGATATATTTAAATTTTTTCTGTACCATCTGACAGAAAATAATATTAATAATTTTATTAACTTGTAAAGCAAAAATATGGTTAGAATAAAATTCTGAAAAGACAATTTACTCTTTGATATGAAGTGATAAGACTCACATTTTTATGAATTACAGGTATATGAACAATAGAAAGTACTTAATTGTGCCAATAAATATATACATACATACATATTTGTACATACATATACGCATAGGCAAACAAATTCAAACTGATAATTTTTATGTAAAAATACTTCACATACACTATCTCTCTAAACGCTTCTAATAAAATACAACAATAACATTTTCATTCATAAATTTATCGCACACATGCCCCTGCATAATCGTGCCTATAAGCGGTAGAAAAAATTCAAAAAATCTAAAAACAAAAATGGTCACAATACATGAAGCAATAACAAAATACATTTGCCTGCAGCTTTCCCTTCATCTTGCAAAAAACACACGGCATCTACAAGCATTGATTCAAATTCTAACTGACAAAAATTCAAATATTCGAATTTGTCTACTAAAATGAAAAAATTGGAATTCTGTTGCTAAATTTGATGTTCGCCTATTAGCTTATATTGGCCAATAAGAATTTCCTTGCCTTCCCGCAAGCGCCTTGTCCTCAAGCTGAGTTGTGGCGAGGATGATGAAATTCTTAAATTCTAAAATTGTAGAATATTTTATATTTTATTCGGGAAAGAAAATTGGCAAGCGAAGAATGGCAACATTGCCCTAGACAATTCCAGTTCAACCCAGAAAATATATTATTTTTCGTATTTTGGTGTATGAATTCAGTTACAGTGATCTCTGTGTATCACCAATACTTCTATCACAAATTAACCATCGCATGAACATCTAGTAAAGTGAGCTCATAAAATTAATTCCAAAATAGCCGAGTGGCTAACATTGCTTACTGCCATTCGAATGGTCAGGGTTCGAGTCCTGGTTCGACTATCACCCTTACAGAAATGCATGCACTGAGGCGACTTAGAATAAACTGTAGGTAAATCAAAAGGTAAATCGTTGGAAAATCAAGACGCATACCATAAATTGGAGAAGATAATCCGAAAGACTCTTCTTAAATTGTACTAAATTATTAAAAATTTTAAACTTTTATGCTTATATTTTTCATAGTTAAAATACATATTAATTTAATATTCGTTTGCTAATTGCAAAGAAAGATGTTCATTCAATCGGTAGTTATTTGCTGTTGTCACAGAATAATTCAGGTACAGTGAACTCTGTTTATCGCGAATATTCCTATATTATTTTAACCATACAAAGTACATCCAACTGCATTACTTTTGCATGCGCAATTTCTCAACGATTTCAATATTTAAAAATAATTAGGTACTCTTACGCTGGATCCATAAACCTCGCAGTTCGTAAAAGAGGGGGGATTTTGTATGATATATTAGAAACATACTTATAATAATATATTAATCACTTAAAATATAATATTTTTAATAAATACCTACATACATACATATGTACATAATTAGAGGAAAATGAAAAGAAGTGTGAAAGAAAGGTTCGTTAAGTCCGGCAGGTATGGAGGAGTCTCAGAATAGGCCATGTTGGGCTACCTAATAGAAGGGATGGGTGTACGAAGGCCTAAAATATAGCTGCGTGTTTTATAGACAATACTTTATTAAACATTCGTTTGATAATTGTATAGAATTCAGTTCGCACTATCGTGAGTGCGTTTGACAATTGTCGATTGAAAATTCATATTTGTTCAATTTAAATTTTTTGTATTTTGGTATGTATAATAGACGCGCGAGGGGAGATGTGCAAGGCAATTTTTTTTTTAATTTCAAATTGCGGCCATTATAATAGTATTGTCATGGCAATGCGTAGTATTTTTTTTTTGATGGATGCGTGAGCTTTTGTTTGTAAACAAACGTGTAAATTTGAATTCATGTGCGTATATATGTATGTAAAAAATGAACATATATTTGCGTGCGTGGATGAATTTTGATTTTCTTACTGTTCTGATAATTGCCTCAATAACTATGTATGTATGTAAATAAATGCAGAGAATATTATTGTTCTCTGAAAAATATTTAATATAATTTAATTAAATATTAAGAAATTGTTTCTTACTTTTAATTCATCATAATTATCACTAATCGTTAAAAAAAATATAAGTAAAATATAAAAATGGGTATAAAAAAGAATATATGAATTCTGTAATTCGAAATTGTTTAATAAAGTTTTAAACTATTGAATAAATGCCAATAACAAAAATTCATAAGTTTAAATAAATTTTGATAACAACCATTTGCTAACATTTATCTTGCATAAGTTTTATCATATTTTACACCGATTTTCTCAGTTTTCATATAATTTTACTCATTCTGCTATTTTGAGACTGATTTCTGCCTGCTCACTGTTAATTTGTGGTGAAATACGCTCATAGATTTCTGGGTGAAAAACACGCTGATGTATTTCTGGTAGACGAAAAAGTAGGAACGAATTGGCAATCGGCACGCGCTGGTCCTTCTCGTTATTAAACATTCTCTGCAAATGCTATTTAATAATTAAAGAAAGATTGGAAAGAAATGAAGAAAGTTTTGGTAACAGGTGGCAGTGGGTTAGTTGGAAATGCTTTGCACACGGTAATTAATGAGAGTACCTCTGGAGATGAATGGATTTTTGTTGGTTCAGCAGATGCCGATTTGACGTAAGCATTTATGTATTTAAGTCAAGATAAAAAACATAACACGTTGCATTAATAAAATTTAGGGACAGCAATGCAACCAAAGCTTTATTTGATCGAATTAAACCAACTCATGTCGTTCATTTAGCTGCAATGGTTGGAGGTCTTTTCCACAATATGAACAATAACTTGGATTTTCTGGTTAGTATGAAATATGGGTTTCAGCTATGTATGTATGTGTGTCTAATATTTTATGTATGATTTTAACAATTTAGCGTAAAAATATGCAAATAAATGACAACGTACTTCAACAGTCATACGAACATGATTGTGCCAAGGTAATTTCTTGTCTTTCTACGTGCATTTTTCCTGACAAAACCAGTTACCCAATTGATGAGACAATGGTTCACAATGGTCCCCCACATCCTTCCAATTATGGTTATTCATATGCAAAAAGGTTAATCGATATTCAAAATCGTGGATATTATGAGAAAAGCGGTTGTATGTTTACTTCTATAATTCCTTGCAATATCTTTGGTCCACATGATAATTACAAACCTGAGGTCAGTCACGTAATTCCTGGTATGATCAACCGTATGTATGACCTGATACATACTGTTAAAGACTTGCCGGAAGAGGAAAAGGTTTTTGTAGTATTTGGCAGCGGCAAACCTTTACGACAATTCATATATTCCATAGACTTGGCCAAATTAATAATTTGGGTTTTAGATAATTACGAAAGCGTGGAGCCATTGATATTGAGTGTAGACGAAGAAGATGAAGTAAGTATTTTTGATGCTGCAATGGCCGTAGCGAAGGCTTTTGATTTCAAGGTAACGAAAAACTACTTGAATGTTTTAATGAATGTGAATTTTTTAAAAATATATTTTAATTATTTTAGGGAAAACTAATTTGTGATACCAGTAAAGCTGACGGACAACATAAAAAGACTGCTTCTAACAAAAAACTACGGAATTTGCTGCCTAATTTTCAATTTACTCCCTTTGAAGATGGCATTAAAGCCTCTGTAGCTTGGTATATTGAAAATATAACTAAAGCTAGAAAGTAAAATTCTTTATTTTTGTAGACTCACAAAATTTTTATTTTTATATTATTTCTTCCTTAAACAATCGTTGTAAATATAAGGTACAATATTTATAAAATATACGGAAAATACTACGAAATAGCGACTTTCAGTAAATACCCGTGTAGAACAATTAGGGTACAAATCTATTAATTTGATCAGGAGAAATAAATAACAAAAGACGCATTAAACTATAGCCACCATAACGCTAATGACAAAATGAAATCACGAGTAACCTGCCGCTTGCGCCAACTGCCAAACACCAGCGCAATGCTTGATTTCTCCAGGGTGGAGGTTTAAGGGTCGCCGGGAAGACAAAATCCTCTAAATCCATCGGCCCCGTCGGAATAAGCTGGCTGATGCTAAAACATCTAGGACCATCAAACTGCCCTGGACCTTGACACTGTCAATCATTCAGTGCTACTACCGGCTGGGGTTGAACAGATAGATCATTGGTTACTTGTGTCCTCTCTCTATTACTGTTCAACTTCTATATTTTGAAGCTCCCTCCTCCACCGGAAGAAGTTTCTTTGATCTCATATGCCGATGATTGCTCGATATTGGAAGGAAACGGCTATCTCGACGATATATGTCACTTCTTCACTTCACGACGAAGAAATACAGCCTCGAACCTTATGTGAAGGTCGGCGGCGTCAAAATTTCGACCACAAACAACCCGAAGTTACTGGGATTCGCATTAAATGAAAGTCGCTAAACGCCACTCACCAGGAGTCAGTTAACACCTTCAAAGTCTCGCTCATTGTAAATTGCATCCTCGGAGTTAAATCACCACCTATTTATGATTCCCGTAAAATATGCGAAACTTTGGTCGGGATATTGTAGAAGGTTGAACTCCTACTTATCCAGACTCGACCCCAATATATGCCCAGCATGTAATGAGTCCCCGCACGGCACTAACCCCCCTCAAGCCGACAAATAACCTTCTTTTACCTCTGGTCCGAACCCGTCGAAACAGCCGGTTTCCTGGACCTCCCGTTAGATTACCTCGGTGACTTTGACTAACCGCTACAACAACAACAACAAAGTCTCCTTGAGTAAATGCATTCCTCTTAAAATATAATAACATCAGTAAGGTTTCAGTGCTCTTTCCAAATGAAATAATCAGTAAATCCGGCCACTATAAATGACGCCTTTTTCATACCTTTCCTTAACAGGAAATGGTATATTAACTTTTGCCCGAAGTGTGTACATATGTACCAGAAGGAGAAGGTAAAGCTTATATCGAGCTTAACTTAACGGGCTTAATGCCGTACTGAGTTGATTTAGCCATGTACGCCTGTCTGTTTGTTCGCACGCACAGCAATACGTTCATTTTTAAGATATTTCAGTACGGCTAAAATCGGGGTCAACTCGGTAGTACCTGCTGTGGTGAGAGTCTTTAAACTGATATCACCTGCTAACTTTATTGAGGTTAGGTCGCCTAAAGGGTGACATGTGTAAGTGTTGACGCGTGGATGGAGTTGTGGTGTGTATGTGGCTATGCCCATCCCAATTAGCTTGCAATTAAAAAGGAACAAGATGACGTTGACGCTTTAGATTAGATATAACACATTTTATTATATTTAAATAGATTTATCATATACATACATAGTTTACATAAAATTTACATAATCTCATATAATATTATTTATAAATATTTTATTTATATAGGAGTCAGTTTTACATGTAATTAAGAAATCGTTAAATAATAAAACGACAATGAAACAAGATTATAAATGAGCTTAATCATTGAATCAGGCACATAATAGATACTATGTACGAACTAAATTATACTTATTTAAACAATTAGAACTCAACTCAACTAAAAGCGAAGTTTTTTCAACTTTCTTCGAGAGGTGCATTTAATAGGGGCTTTAGACAATATCTTTGCTTTTATGCTAAAATTGAGGAAACACATTTATTTCAAACTCTATACACAATAGAAAGGGAAACCTTATGAAAAAATGAAATACAATAAAATAAAATAAAATAGAATATTTTGCTTAACATTTTTTAATATTTAGTTGATCGTTCCACAAATCACCAAATGAATTTTAAGGCTGGGCTATAACTATTGAGATATTTGGGTTTGAGGCAACGCTGGAAGCATACACATACCTACATACATACTATATTGGTGATGGTGGGAGTGCGATACTCTATAGTGGTTCGGTGAACTGTATGTAATATTGACATTCGCTAAAGTAAGGTAACTCATATTAAGTCTTTTTACCTAAACAATTTTACACACGCCTCTTCTTCAGTAATTTATCCTTATTCTGAAGTGTGAAGAACCCGTTAACCCATTTTAGATCGGGCTTCGAGAACCGCACTGTTTGACCGTCTCCACAGCCGTTCTCAGCTGCGTATATACCTTTAAGCATAACACTTGAGCCACTACCACAGGCCAAAGCGCTGCCAATGTCAAAAAGGCAAGGATCATGAACAACTGAGCTGCAAACACTACTTTCATCAGCTCCGCAATCAGATCTTGCCTGGGGTACTGTGTTCGAAACGTGCATGATGGCTCCCTCCTCGTGTGCTGCGTGTATATTTCACAAAAGATTAATATTTTTTAGAGCAGAACTATAATCTTCAGGGTACCTACAATTAATTGCTTGTTTCCCCCAGCCAGTGGTGATGCACTTCTCTCCCGGTTTTGGATCTTCGTTAGTAACGCATATTGGCTTGATGTGTTGGGCAAATTCTATTCTCTTATCCAATCGTAGCACTGCCATGTCATTCGAGCCCGTAGATGGATTGTATTCGGGATGTATGTCAATCGATTTAACACCGACTATTTGGAAAGGCAATGGCTCACTGTCTCTGCCGAGCTCCCATTCACCTCCTTTAACTTTCAAGTCATTTGGTGACACACTAAATACATACAAACATTTTAGTGTTTTTCATTTCAGCATGCTACACATTATTTCTCACCCTTTAACAACTGAGGCTGCTGTCAAAACAACTTGATCCCCAATTATGGCTCCACCACCGAGTAATGTTTTGGTCGATTCCTTCAGGATCATTGCTTGCCAGGGAATCTCTCCAAAGTTCGCGTCGATGTCTTGTATGCCCTGCGGCTTAGTATTCTGTAGAGAATGTTTGCATAAATTTGATATTTTATATCTCAAATGAACTATTCTATTTATGTTGTATGCATTACTTACCAAGTTTCTTGCTGCACATACACCGGCCAAATTTATGGGCCAAGGATCAACATAATTAGCGTCACGACAACATTTACCAGGTGAACCGTTCTCGAGAAGACAATCGGTAAGAGGAACGCGGAAGGCTGCTTCTGCCGGTGACACGTCCACCGGTTGATCTGTTATCACACCGATACTATTACAAAAGTTTTCCGGTGTACACTCTAGAGCAGACGCGCACTTGGACAAATGTTGACGGTTGTCAAGAGGAAGCGATAGAATGTCTTCACCTCTCTGCGGTGGCGTAGGCTTTGGTATTCTTGGAGGAGCGGCAGTAACGGTTTGCAGTACTGTATTTGAAGATTGTGTAGCATGATAGTCAGTGGGTTGATATTCAGGGCGTGGTGGTAAGTATTCGTTTTGTGGTCTTAGACCGGGCTGGGGCTGGGATGAAGGTCGGGGTTGTGGTATAGGTTGAGGTTGGTATTGAGGTTGTGTTTGTGGTCTTGGTTGCGGCTGTGGAATTTGTTGAGACTGTGGTTGAGGTTGATATTGCGGTTTAGGTTGAGGTTGAGGTTGATATTGCGGTTTAGGTTGAGATTGAGGTTGAGGTTGATATTGCGGTTTAGGTTGAGATTGAGGTTGAGGTTGAGGTTGTGGTTGAGGCGATGGATAGGCTTTAGTTGAGGTAACAACTGGTCTAAAAGAAGTTTGTGTAAATACTGGGCGCGATGGCGTAGTTCCTGCCGATGGTACATATTCATTACGAGGAGTTATTGGTTTTGGTGTGGGAGCATATGTGCTAGGCGGCAAATATTCCCGTTGCGGATTCGTTGGTGGCTGACGAGGCGAAGACAATTGTTGAGTGGCTGAAGATGGGTAGGGTCTACCAGTTGTTGGGATGGTGAATTTCACTTCCGGTGTTCGAAGTACATACCCATCGTCAGTTAGTGTGGTAGAGGGTATCCGGCAACACACATCAGGTGAGTAGCAGCGATCACTCTGAAATAAAGCAAATCATTAAAGTTATGTACATAATAATCTCACTTCTGGTAAAGCTGCCTAATCCTCATTACCATCTACGAGACTGTCCAAAGTCTTGAGAAACAAAAAGTAGCAACTGATCACATTATAACAGAACTGATTCTTCTTATATCATTATATTGTTGACAGGCACCTGACTACCCTAACGCTGTGGAGACTCTATTAAGGATTTCCAAAATCCTTTCTCTCTTAATTTGCTTTGTACATATATATGTAGATATGTGTAAACAAATACTCACTAAACCGCAGCATATTAAAGTAAATATAAATATATTCATGTTCCTGAGTGCAAGTAAGTGGGAAGTAAAATTCTCTTCGCTCAGCGCGGGTGTCTGTCTCTATTTAAGAGAGTAAACGCAAAATTCTCAAGAAATTGGGTGCAGGATAATCCTTGCCGAACATGGCCAAAGCGTGTTTGTACACACGAGTGGGTACTTATTTACGTGGATCTGCATGAAGGAGTGTGTACTAGCATATTTGTATGTACGAGTATGTATGTATGTAAGCGCGTGTATGAAGTAGCATGAATGTAAGTCTGGACATCTGTAAATATGCATATCAGTCTATATGTAGGCAAGGCAAGCATGTGTATACGTGTATGTACGTAGGTAAGTTAAAAAAATACAAATAAGTATCTCCTTGGCATTTGGCATAGAGCTTTACAAATGATCCATCATTCTGGGACAGATAACAAATACAGTAATGACATCAAGAAAGGTTTTTAATTTTCTCGCAATTTTTTCGTTTTGTCACGTTTTGTGACTAGTTTTTATTTACAATAAGCAACTTGCCAATTTACTTGTGTACATATGCAAGTAATATGTGTTTGTACGTACACTATGTATGTATGTACAAATGTACAAATGTACATATGTGCATATGCATGTGTTAAGTATTAAGTAAGTGGCCATGTCAGCCACTGTGCGTTGTTTGTACATGACAAGATTGAGGTAGGCATTTTAAGGTAATTTGTTAATAGGGGTTATTTTTAATGGCATTGTTAAATGACATCCAGCTGCTTAATGAAGTTGTTCGGAGAAGAAGACTTTCGTTGGTATACACACATACATATGTATGTACATATGTACAATACATGCAGTAATATTGAAAAAAATTTTTGTTACCTGTCAGATACATTTGCTTATGCATTTGCGCATGCCTACAAAAACACGGGATAGTTTAGTGCTGTGAGCGGACATACTCGTATACATATTGTACAAATGTATAATAGCAGACCCGGCCAAACGCTGTTGTGGCTTTCTGTGTTTTTTAGGCTTTTTATTCTCATTGAAATTGCAAGGAATGAGAAAAATCTATTATATTCCTCGCTACTCAGAGCCCATAACGTAAATGGCAATCGGATCTATGCTTGAACGTATAAGAATAGCTTGTAACCCGTAGCCGCAGAATGAAAACCTTGCGCAGAGAACATATCTACACACCATCTATGGATTTCACCAAATTTAACATTCCATTCAGACATATCATCTAGAAATTTTACCAGACCGAACCATAAATATATATGCATACTTCTCCCAATTCCTGGAGAAAGGAGTTTCGTGTAAGTCGAACCGTAAATACTGTGTTTTCGGACACTGGTCCGCTTCCCGGAAATAATTTTTTTAATGATGCGGCAGAAGAATCGGTAATTAGAGTAACCATGGATCGATTTCTCACCACAATGGCAACTGCTGCTACGTAGCAGACTATCGAAGAAGACCCGAATAAGTCCATACGACATCGCTCGGAACAATTGGAGCTGTTTGCATTCATTTTATGAAAGATTTTGCTTAACGTTTTTTTATGCCTAAACCGTGTAGAGTTGCAGCCGAATGACCATTAAGCGCTGCGCATACTCAGTGAATGCGCCCTAGACAAGATGTCCACCGATCACAATTTTCTCAAGAAAATTTTGTTCGGCAATGAAGCTCACTTCTGGTTTTTTCGGTGCGTTAACAAAGAACAATCTTCGCATTTCATGCGATCATTCCCCACAAGTCATAGTTAAGTCGCCGTTATGTTCGCAAAAAGTCACTGTTTAGCGCAAAGGGAAACATTGGTAAATTTTTTTTTTCAAAAATGATGACAGCCATAATACTGTAGTCAATGGGGAACCCAATATGAATTGGAGGATATTGATGTGGCCGACTCTTTGTTTCAACAAGACGGCCACACATTTATAAGGAAATTTTTGGTGAATTGAATTTAAAAATGTTTTTAATTCTAAAGTAGTAAATGTAAAATTATATAATGCCTTTGTCATAAAATCTGCGTCTCTTGAAAGTCTTACTGATTCGTATTATATTGGAATAGGAATGTGTCTATATGTGTATGTGCATATGAGCTTCAAAGGTGATGAAATATATTTAGAAGAATAAACGTACACACAGCAGTATGTACGTGTATTTAGTATGTATCCAAGACGTTTACAAGAAACAAAGTTAAAAACCGTAACTCTTAAAAAGTATTCGGATTGTCTTCTTCGAAGTCTTCAGCAATGAACTAATTGGTCTACGCGAAGCGCGTTAATTATGTCTGGTGCACAGCATGACTTCCTACTAATAACTGTTATGATAACCAATTCATTTCATTGTTATACATAATCGTATGTCCATATGTACCTACATATAAATGCTTAACACAAGTTGTATGTCACGATGTAGCACTGAATTCTGTTTCACTTAATTTATTTTAATGTTGGCGCCATGAATGTAGCGAGCTTTTTTCCACCTTTCAACGATTTTGAAGATCACCCAATATGTACGAGTACATAGTGTGTATGTAATGTACGAGTATGTATATCTATATACACGTATGTGTGTAGACGCACTCAAAACAAGAAACGACCTAGACCTTGAGATATGACGTCGTCTATTTCAGTGGTATTATAAAGTTTATTAGTTTTTCAACTCACTTCTGTATAATTCATATAAATATATATATGTGTAAACGTGTATGTACATTTATGGGTATATACGGGTAAATATATATTTGTGACTGCTCTAAGGCAAAGTAATTCAGAATGACTGTGACCAAAACAGGTGAATTTGCATTATTTGGTTTTCCGCTGATGGAGATGATGTAACGAAATATATATAAATATATATATATCTGTATGTATGCATGTATATGGTTAATTGCTTTTCAGTAAATTTCTATGCACTTTTTTCAAAAATATTTCATACGAGTACGCACGAATGTATTTAAGTACTTATAAGTACCAATAATCTTATGTACTAATGTACGATATATGTGCATGTGTATGCTCGTGCATGGCTATGCACATAAATACAAAATTTCGAATGTTTGTACAATTTATAAAGCCACAAACCACCAAATCAAAAGCATTCTAAATTGCTAATTACCTAAATAAATACAAATACTTTTTTATACATATGTACGTACCCATATAAATATGTATATGCATTACTTATTGCAAATATTAAAACTGGAAAGAGGTGTCCCTTGACTTTCAAAAGCATTTTCCGAGTTGCAGTTGGCTTAATTGGAGCCAAACAAAAGAACTATTAAAAGAGCTGGGGCCAGGCACGCTAAATGTAAGTATGTTTTTAAATGTTTAAATAGCATTATGTATTTGTGTGTCATATATACACATATAAATTGTATGTGTGTATGTGTGGCTGTGTGAAAGCTCAGTTTAATTACTCCTTTGTATTGCCTCTACTTTTGTCACAAGAAATAATTTTTATATTCATTAATCAAATCTCGTTTGTATTATTTGGCTTTCCCAAACTAAAGAACACAAGCACATCCATATATGTATTGTACACACATAAACGCGTATGCACAAACACTAGATTCTACCAAGATTTTTAATTGTACTTTTCGTTATTTATTTGATTATAAGAGTTCTCAGTGCCACTTCCCGAAAAACCATTTCGTATCGGATACCTACGCCAAACAGAGAACACCCCGCATAGATTCATGTCTCTAGGATTAGCGTCTTGATCCGACAGTCATTCAGGGCAAGTTCTTGTATACGTACATATGTATGTATTTAATGTAATCATAATGGAGAGCTGGGCTGTTCTCAAGATCACTTTTGTGAACAGACACGAAAGAAAAGTATTGCCTCGAGGACCAAAAGACAAACTCAACAAGTCGCTCATCATTCCCGTCCTACTCTTTGGCGAAGAAGCGTGACTAATAACGAAATCTGAGGCTTCGGCACTTGGAATTTTCGAAAGAGAGATTTAGCGGATTGAGAACGGTGAGTACATCGTAGAAACACTTGGCTGCTTGCCCTCCAATCGTCGTCGAGCGGTGTCTACGCTTCAGAACTTCAAATTTTAACTATAGCTACAAAAATTCAATAAATTCATTTCCGCCCGTTGCCAATCGAGGCCAAACGAAAGTAGTACGGACGAATGGGCTTTTTAACTAATTTTTCCATCACACATACATACGTGTATGCACATATGAATTATGCAAAAAATTGCTCGTTGATGACGGGAATCAGTTGTTGCTCTCCTTAGAAATTAATGAACATCAGATGACTGCTTTTATCGGCGCAAAGGCGAAATATGTAAATGTCATATAACCGAATTAAAAATTTCTTAAATCGAAGCTCACATTGCTGCGAGTGAAATAGTTGGATTATCCAGCAGGAGTTGTTTGCTTCGAAACTCAGCGATAAACTTGTGCGAATCCTGTTTGTAAGTAAATATTTATGCGAATTTGTAATGAAATATTTTTACGTGGGTAAATAAAGCAGGTATGTGTGTATGTGTGTATGTGTGTATGTTGCAATTTCGGCTTTTACGCAAGTTGGAGTACGTACATACCTACATACATACATACATACATACATATGTACATATGTATGTACACCGTTACTGGCATTCGGCGTTGTGTTGCTTTCAACGACCTTGTCTTGCATTTTTCGCATATTTCATGAAGGTGCATAAGGCTTTCCACACACATACACATTTCAGTGTGCATGTGTGTGTATATAGATGTGTCATGTACGCATTTAGGTTGAATCAATCCACACGCTGCTTTTGGCAAATGTGGTCCACCATATGACAATCGGTGGATAGTTTGCGAACAAACTTTATACGAGTATACACACTCGCACTCACACATACGGCCGAACATACACTCGCACATTGTCGGAATTCTTTAGTAAATTGGAATTTATCCCTCTTCACACTTTTCACAGTTGCAGTGTCAGTTGCGCTTTCCAACGAAACGTGTTTGACCTAAAGTGCTCTTCATATGTACATACAAACATCAATATACATACATATATATATTTTTTGTATTGTATAACACATATTTTGTTTATTCGGTCTTGAAAATTTCTTCCTTTTTTTACTTATTCTCAAATGTACAGCAATATGTATGTATGTGTGACAAAATTTATCATAGAACTCCGCGTAGAGTGTTGACAAACTCAAATAGTGGAGAGTGGCACGTAATCTCCTCAACGTAAGGGGTAATGTTTATCTAAATAGCGTCTTATAAGAAAATGCAATTCCAGCTCCTTTGGTTAGGTTTTACCAATCTTGCGGTGAGAGAATATCACGAATTGCCTGGTAGCTACATATATACACGTATATATCTCCGAATACCACCAAAAATGCTGTCTACCATGGATTCTGTGATGGGGCGCGTATTCCGAGCAGCGTTTGCTCATCACACAAGAAAAGGAAAACACAAAAACCTATATAATTCACGTTACCAACTTGTCTGTCGGAATCAACGGTACTCAGCAACTCAGCAACCTCATTGAATATATCATGGCGTTAATGACTGCGTTAAGCTTGCAGCTGAGGCAAGTAGTAAGTACATATGTCCATATGTACATACACGTATGTATGTGTGAGCGAGTATATGTATGTGGAGGTGTTTACATTTGGTTTGCGTTGAATTTTGAAGACTACGCTTGGGCTATCGGACATACAAATGTATGTTTGCACGTAAGTATGTGTGTAAATATGTATATATACATACATACACGAATGCATTCGAGTACTTTTTGTGTTGTTTTCTGTTGCTGAACTATATTGAACTTAAATAACCGTAGCTTACTTCACGACCGCAAAAAGAGCAATAAATTAAATCCGAATAACTGGAAAGGGAAAAAACTGTAAAACATGGAGCTAGGGAAATTATGCAATCCGTGCACAATAGTGCAGAAATGCAACAAGCGAACGTTGCACGCATCTAAATAAACATACATACATGCGTACAGACATACGTATTTACATGCCGATGTACGTGTATATGTATTTGGCTACAGAGAATCCGCAAGACGCTAAGACATCGAAATCACATTTGCGTATGCTTGTTAAAAATGTAAAAAAATTAGTATGATTTATTAAAATGTACGTCTTCTATATTGTCTATGTGTGTGGGTATAACGCACCTGCGTTGAGCTTACTTGAACGCTTTCATAAACATAATGCAATACACAAATCTCCCGATATCCCTAGAAATCAGCAAGTTCATTCTGCATATAAAAAGAATAATCGGATGTATATTACTATTATTCCTCAAGTTCCAGTATTATTGTTCTTATTTCTTTGCTATCTTATGATTTTCAATATGACAGTGTTTTTTTTTTTTAAGATACTCAAAGACATTTTTCCTTTTGTAGGTGTCTACGGTTGACTGCTGTTGACTGTTTGTCCCAAATATCCTAAAATTGCACTCACCTTGGGTTTCTTGACATAATCTGCTGAATCTATTTCACCGTTATTGCAAAAACGTGAGGGCACACAATCGTAATCCTTTGAGCATATCTCAAATGGGCGCTCCGTTGTTGTTGTTGGCTGTGGGGGTGGACGGTATATGCAGCAGGTGTGTGTTGTTGGCTTACAGTTCTGGAAAGAAAAATGAAATATTTTGCAACTTTTTGAAAAATGGACAAAAATAAAATAAAACCAAAGCAATAGCATTGATCAATTGATGTTTTGAAATACATCTAATGGGGTTTACAACAAAATTATTTTATATTGTAGGAAATTAATGTTTTCGATGGTTGCCATGCACCACATAAATTAAAAGTTGCTTAAAAATATTCACGGGAAAGGTGCATTAAAATGTCTATTTCAAATGAAATCTATAAAATATTTCTAGTTTCAACTTCGCTTCCTTATTTTGTTGGTCTTTATTCATTTTACTTGGTGACTGTAATAACTTTTCGAAATGGCATAATAAATTTTCATGGCATGACTTTTCGTTGCAGAGACTGACAAATATCTATATGAAAATCGAATGGTTTCTTTTGAAACAGAATAATTGGAGAAAATCGCGAATAAGCATACATACATACCTACATACATACACATGTATAGACTAGTCCTTAGTGAAGTTGTTTTTCTCGTTGCTACGCCGCTTTGAACCTGCCCAACTTAGGAGTTCTACGCCGCTTACAGTCGGTTGTAATGCACAGTATTTGCGATTAACTGTTATTCGCATAACAAAATTAACTAATTTTCATTAATTCCTATACAAATGATCATGTTTGTATACACGTTAGCATACATACATACATACACATATACATGCATATAAGTATACATACAGAAAAGCAGAAAACCTCAGAGCATTAATTTGAATTTCCAGAAAGCTAGTTTGCAGGTTGTGAAATGTTTAAAAATTGCACGCATACATATACATACATACAAATTTATACAATTTTACAAAATTAATAGGCAATTTATTTTTGCGCAACTAGAGGTGCCTACATACATATACATACACGTATGTTTACCTAATTTGTGTCCATCTCGATGTTTTTCCAACGAACGGCAGGACCTAGATTTTATACTAAGACCCCTCCGGTCGACGGACGATTCATGTGATGAGATAGTAATTATTGCTGTAATATAATCATAGACTTTATTCGAGTCTTTTTGCTTAAAATCCATGCAAGATCTTTATTTTTCCTCTTAAACATCACTAATATAATAATAATATTTCATTTTGTGCATCGTCGTCGCTTCCGGAAGCTTAAGAATGCTTGACACCGTTTTGCAGTTCGCTTTCTAGTAAATTAAAAGATTCTAAAATCGGCTTACATTGTACAAAAAATAAGGGTGAATTCTATTTCTGTGCCATCAGCATGCTTTGCTTCCACTTCCCCAATTCAGGCTTGTGTGCGGGCGGTGACTCAACCCTACTACCACCAAATTTTCGTGTAATGGATTTATTTACTATTCAATTGAATCGTTGTTGTCATTCACTTCAATTCAACAAAATTACATTTAGTCACTTATTTTGTTATTGTAGTTTGTCTTCTATGTTAAAGTATTAATATTATTTTTATTTTAAATAATAATTTTTGTTATGTTCTTAATAAAGCAACCAAATAATCACAAATCAGCTACATTTCATACTTGCTGTTTTTACTGTAATCAATTTGTACTTTCTCTCCAAACTAAACGTCAAAATTTCACTCTCGTTACAAATTCTACTGGCTCTTTGCCTCACCGAGCGCGGTTCAGTAAAGCGCAATAACAATTGTCACTGCCCATCAGGTCACCGAACAGAGCGGGTATTGCAGTAGTTCCTATCGACAGCTATTTTTTTTTCAATATATTTATTTTTTCCCGAGACCTTCTTGCTAATTTTTATAATAATATTTTTTAATAAGATATTTAATAATTTTCTTAAGAATTTTTTTTGCGACGAGAGGAATTATTTTAAAAATGTTTACTTAAAAATTTTCACAGCAAATTTACACAATAAATTGAAAATTATTAAATTCTCTTAACCATTGTTTTATTGTAAAAAGACTATAAGAAAGATGAGGTGCACAGCAACAGGTGGCCAACAAGACTTTGCCCGCTGGAAAAAGCTGTGACCTTACTATAACCGCTTTAGAAAACAATTCAGAGGGTGAAGTTTAGTACCGTTAGCCGGAAGTATAGAATTCAGCGAGCTGGGAGCACCAGATTTGCCTCGCGATGAAGAGTAGAAACCCACAACTAATGGCAGCAGCCGAAGACAACCAATCGCTTAAGCTTGTATAAGTAAAAAGTATATTTTTATGTAAAAGTGAATATAAAGCTGCTAATTTTTGGAAAATATTATTTTGAGGTTGCAGAGAGGAGCAATAAAGCCGCACAATAAGCGAAAAATCCAACATTTGCCCACCAATGTGAAATAATTGTGTGATTTACTTTAAAATTGATCATTTTATTATTTTAATTTCATTGGCCAATTGATCAATATGCGTACATACATACATACGCTTATTTGCATGGAAATCAATATTCGTGTGCGGGTCCATGCAGAGCTTCGAGGCGTTAGCGCTTACTCCGGATCTTGCTTTGCTTTTCATGTAAGTGCTCACATTTATGTATTTGCAGCGTTTACATATTTACGTACATATGTATACACAAATTGGTGTTGTCAAAATGACTATAAATGTTGCTACATAAAATCTGCAACTGCACTTAGATTTAGGTAGCAGTAAATTTATTTTCCAATTAGATGTATGTATATGAGCACATACTCATGCTCTTTAGGGTTGTACATTAGCTATGTGAAGATGAGATTGAAAATAAACAGTTATTTGTGCGTTCGTCCGTCGGTAAGAGCGTCAACCCCTCTGAGAGTATTTCTGATATGGAATAAAATAAGTACCTAAAATCCTATCGGCCGTTCGGAGGCGGCTCGGAATAAATGATAGATTCCTCCATTTGTTGGAAACACATCAAGACGCATACCACAAATCGGAGGAATTGTTCGGCCGAAAACTGCTTTAGTGGCTACAAAGCGGCTTTATATCTAAAGGCAGGAATAATTGGGCGATAAGCTTATCAGCAATAGTAAATACATTCGTGTCTAAACTACTAGGTCTACATGTTCAGCAAGCACACAAGCAAGAATCTTCTTTGATTGAGCCAATGCGAACGGTACTTCCAAGCGCAAGGGCCACTCTAATGAAATCTGGTTCATTATGCGCTACCCAATGACAGCTCCATTACGAAACGCGAAAAGTGTCTACAAAATTAAGCCTAGTGGAGACCTGCCATTGACTTGCCAACTCGAAAAAAACTATATTTTGGTTTGCCTTAATGCATTAAAAAGCTATATAGATACGTAATTATGTATGTATATATGTATGTATGTATGTTTCACATATGCATATCCTATTTCAAATAGATGACGATAATTATAATATGAATATGTACAAATATGTAGAAATATGTGTGTACGAGTATGTATGTACGAGTACTTTTAAACTTGCTATTATTTGTACATCTACATATTTGACAAGTTATGTAAATAAGTTACCACAATCACATTGACCCCAGAAGCTATTTGCTGCTGCAGTATTGACCAAAAGCGTTACGGCAGCAAATAGAATGAGCAACGATTAATGGCCAATTGCCATCGGTGTTGGCACATGTCAGTTTTTCAGAAAAATCTATTGCTTCTTTATTCTGAAAATGCTATTAACGCTCGATGACATGCCTGCGCTTGCCGCATCTACCTGTTGGTGTTACGTATATACATACATTCGTACATATTCGCAAGTAACTATATGAATCTACATAAGTAAATATTCAAAAGTATGTGAATTTGCGCACCTCTGGTGTGTAATTCTTTATTGTTGTTGGGTAAGTACGAAATCATCCTCAGTAAATCAAGTAAAAAATCTCATTCGATTTTGCATAAATATCATAAATATCATAAATATATTAATACATATATTAATTTTCGGTGTCGCATGGTTGTGCACAAACATTTGTCAATATCCTATCTGTTGCCGAATAATTGCATTTTCTACCGTAGAACGAGTGGTCTAACGGAGCCTTCAATATGACGAGTACTCATACTTCTGCGCTATGTATTCACTCGCGTTGTGGCACCGACATGATTGGACTATTGAAAAACATCAATATGTAAAGCAAAATTCGCTGCAAAGTACCGCTGCACAATGTGTTAATCTTTTTCAGCTCTCTCGATAATCCTAGTACTGACCTAGTACATGCAGAAACAGTTCTTCAGCACTTGCACTTGACTTATATTCATATTGTATATTATATATAATATTTTCTGACAAGTATTCTTAGCTCTTCCAAATGTCAGCTTACCCGCTGTTCTTACACTTAAAAGTTGATATCATTCTAAGCTTTTTGATATCATCGAAGATTATTGCATGCTTTGTTGGCTGACAAGCGTCTGACATGTGTCCGATGGTGGCCATACGATTAACGGAGACTGTCAACTACCGATTAACAACAAGTTTTGCGTATTTACTGTTTCGTATAACCGAAAACTTGTGCTTTTGAAATCGCTAATTAAAATATTTATTTGTTGGAACTTAAACCTCACTGACTTAATAGAGTAGCATCAAGTTTTTTCAGCAACACGTGGTTCAACAGATAGATATACTGGTAAATATGTACATATGTATGTATGTGTTACTGCTAACACACACATACACACAGAAATCTCTTCTATACGATTGTCTCATTTTTAATTTATGATGTAACAAATAAAAATAAGTCCGACCTCATTTAAATGCAGCACTTTCAAATAAAAGACGGCCAATAAACTCTTAAACATAACATAAATAATTATTGTAAATACAATCGATTCATGAGGCAACTATGCACAATTGAATTCTCAGAAATTTTTACCGCGTTTAATTTTAAAACTTTAAAAAATTTACTTTCATAATAATAATTATTGTTATAATAAAAATTAAAAAGGAATGAGGCAAATGTATATATACATATATTTGTAACCGCTGAGCCCGATTTTCGGCCGAGCTCCTTCTCCGATTTGCGGTGTGTGCCTTGATCTGTTTCCAAAAAAAAGTTTATTCTAAGCCGCCTTCGAAACTCCGCTTAATTTCTAAAAAGGGCCTCGACTTACATGCCAGAAATACACTCGGATGCCTGGTCGGATATCGAGCCCTGACTTTCCGGGTATCAGTACGCAATGCAAATCAGTTCCAGGCTATATTACCATGATATGATTATTTTTGCTGATATTTTCAGTTCGAATAATCATAATTAGGTTCATTTGATATTTCAATTTGTAATTTTTAATGCTCTTAATATTTCAATTGTCGTATCATACCTCTGTGAGCGTAAAATAGTCTCGAGGGAAATTCCAAACTCAATCGTTTTAACTTATTCCAAGCGGTTTGAATTGAATCTAAGTCAGTTTATCTATCTAATAAGCTAGAAGCAACTGAAGACGCTTTGCCGAAGTAATAACCATAAGGTTTTATTGTAATTTGCTATTTAAAAATACCTCAACTGGAAATTATGTAAAGGAAATTCCGCTGAATTCCGGATTTTCTCAAAGCCGGATGGACCAAATAATGAATAAGCTTTTGCCTTGTCTTCAACCGCAACCAGTAAGTGGTGAGAAAACTTGATTTGGGTCGGTGTTTGCTGTGAATTCGCTCTGAGAATTTCTTTAAAAAAAAAAGCGATCGTAAAATGTACTATACATACATATGTATTGTATATGTATGAATATAACGTATATTTGCATGTATATAAATATTATATTTGATTTAAGTATATTCGTATAATTCTCATATTAGGCATTCAAATTAGATAGAAGTATGTACGTGTATGTACGTATGTAGATACATATAAATTTCTCAACATTCGTCATAGACCATTAAAAACTCGCAAAAAGAAAAAAAAACACAAACGAAATCGCACAAATAAATTTCTATTGAATCAGAAATCGCTTGACAAGCATCAACTGCTGATCCGAATAGCGTGGGCATTTCATAATGCATGAATTGGAACGAGTTGCACAAACAGAAGATAAATTTCTCACCGTGCCGTGGGGTGTCTAATGTTTCACACAAATTAAACGTGTGAATCAGAAACACAACTGTATTAGCAATGAAATTGCAAAACAAACACATTGGTATTTTCTTGAGGCATAGCTTGAACTTAACAACCTGTTAACTGTTGACACAGGGTTCCTTTGTGTTTTTCCCATTTTTTGTTGATTTTTCTTACATGTTGATATGCAATAATTTGAACGTAAATTACGTTTTAACAACAATGGCAATTGCTTCATTACAAAGTCAAGTTTAATTCTCGTCGACTTCCCTATTCACATTGTTTTTTGTTTGCTAAGGAAATTGTCCGCTTCAAAAACCATGATTTTACACTTAAAGTAATTCTCATAAGTGGCAGCGAAGTAAAATCAAATTAAATACAAATGCAAAACGAAAAACGAAAAACGAATAACGCAAAAAAATTGCAGCGCCTACGAAAAAATCCGCCAACGTACGTACGTATATGCATATACGCTTATACCAATATGTACATACATATGTACACATGTACATACATTTATTTATATTTCATCTAAACATTTGAGCACTTCATAATAATATACATAAATATATGTATATATGTATAAATATATAAATATAGAATACATATATATATATATATATATATAGATACTTTATTTATGTGCAAAATAGGCAGTTGTTGTTGTTTTATGTGTATGAAGTGTGCCTCCGTTTGGCAAATGGAAACGTCAGTTGAGCCTCGCATTCTTCATAGATTCAAAATTTTACAACTACATTATGCATTAGCAATTACACTAGTCTACATACTTATATACATACACACATACGATGCATACACGTACATACATACAGACGATGCATATATTCGTAAATTGTTGTACATCCATGCAGCGGAACAAGTTCGTTGCTAAAGTCTTTCGTATGCGCTTGTCCAAAAATTATTATGTGGCCATGCATAAATATACTGCCTTTGTATGTATGTATTGTACGTATGATTGCATATAGGAAGATACATACAAATATATGCCAATAATTCCAATTTGTTACGAAAGCGTCGTTTATAATTTTAATTAAAAATCATTGGGTATCTCGAAGAATTTTCAAAATTATTTATATAAATTTCCCTATTCCTTAATCGAGATAATTAAAAATATTTTTAAATCGATTTTGATTTTCACATTTTTGTAGAAAACACTTAATAAATAATATTTTATGCAATCGCCCTAACGGCATTCACTTACCTGAGCCTTTTGCGTTGGATTAGAGAAGTAGCCATCAATGCATTGCTCTTTCAAAACACATTGTTTTCCAGCGGAACACTTCAGAATTTCATCCGGCGGCAAGTAGGTGGGACCTTGGAAGGGTGACGCCTGTCGGCTTATGATTGCGTGCTCTAGAAAAATGTTCGGTGTTGGATTTATGGTGTTCAATTTACTTGGATTCGCTTTGATGCCGTTCTGATATTCGCCGTTAAGGAACATATTGGTCGAATACTGTGATGAGGCCACACCCAAATATAGTGTGACCGTAAGGCCAAACAGGATATGTTGATACCACAACATTTCAGATACTCTCTGGCCGACTTAAGTTTCAAGCTTAGCAATTGTGAAAACTGTAAATAAAAATTAATATATATATGAATATGTAGTCCGGCAGAGTGAGATAAGTAAAAGAAGTAAGAAAAAAAATCAGTAGAACGTTATATATTGAGTTTGATTTTCCATGAAACATATGTACTCTTGTACGCGTATTTATGCCTAGGCCCACATTTTGTTGTTGAAAGTCCGGCTTAGTAAAACTCAACTGTGAAGCTGTTAAGGGCATTTGAAAAGTGACTATAGTATATATGTATATATATATAGGCAAATTTTGTATGAATTGCTTAATTGATTTTTAGCAGCTTTGAACTACGCCTCTGTCGTCGCTTAGCCGGACTTCCATCGGCCAATAGTGCGGTTGTTAATCATTATGTTGTTTGTTTTGTTATTTTCTATTAATTTTACGTCTCAATTAATTGCTTTGATTAGCTTCCTATTTACATACTGCCCTTTTATAGTTTTATAATTATGTAACATTTGCTTATCATTTCATTAATTGCTTTTAAATGAAGTGTATGTGCCGCCCTAAGTCTGTTGCTTTGGTAGTAACCCGGATAATCGAAATTCCAGCATATTATGTTATTATGTTGATAAATTAGCTTAATTAACTCTAAAAAAAAACTTGTAGGGCTACAACTCATCGTGCGGGCTTTCGAAAGTGAAGGATTGAAAGGTAAAGTAAACAAAACATTTTGTTATTGAATATAATTAAGATGAGCTGTGAAAGTCTTAACAGACTGCACAAATTTCAATAAATTATTGAGCACTTTGGGCTTTCCCCTTATTTGCTTGTGGAGTTTCAATTGTGTGGTGAATGCCCCACGGCGAGTTTTCACAATCATCATTGACGGCATTAGAGTTTGATCGTACATTAAATATCGATTAGTTTTCGGAACTTTACGCAGACATGTAGGTAGGTCAATGGGTGAGGAATGAGTAATAATGAGTAATCATAAAACAAACTACGACTAAAGATATTTTCAAAGTGTTATCCACCAAATTTAATATTGGCCACAGGTAATGTGGGACATTCCTTCAACTGGGAAGTAAGAATGGCCAAAATTCGTCAAAGTCATAGCCCACACATTGCTCGAAAGAAGAATGCGATTTCGAACAATTCTTATTTCTGTTTCTTGTTGTCTTGTTGTCTTGTTTCTATTTGATTGAACACTTTGAGTAGCCACTAAATGAGTGACACATTAACTGCTAAAAGTGGTAGGATGAGCCAAACATGTTGCGGTCAATCAAATAAGGTGTGAACAGTGCAAGCAGCAAAACATCAATACTGGTGTTGGACAAGCATTTCACAATCCCCAAGTAGTTTCAGCGTTATCAGTCGGAACATATGTATAAGTATTAAAGTTTATGCCTTTGTATATTTTCTTTTGGTTTTTCCTTTGATATGGAGCCAACAGATTTCTCACTGATGTGCCTATTGACTTATGTTGTACATTCACATCTACATGTACCTACGTTTGGCACGAAAACCAGTATTATATTTTTTATATCCAGTCATTTAACATTTTCAATCTCATAATTTTTACAAAAGAAGAACGTAAATTCATTAAATATATAAAATAATATTTAGTTATCATTTTGTTAAGATTTTAACAATAAATAATATAATTTCAATACATTAAATATTCCAACTCCATCCTCTTCATAATTTTTGGCTATTTAGCTATATTTCTCAATCTCAAATTAGTTTTCGAATTGTTTACTTAATGCAAATAATTAAATCAAGTCCAACTGAGCTATAAAGATGAATTATACAAAATTAACAAATTATTAAATTAATTAAAAAATCAAGCTTCTTAGATCCTCGTATAACCATGCATACACGTACATCCAAGTGGAATACTCATTTGACATACGTATATATATATACATATGTGTATCGTGGTTCTAAATAACAATAATATTAAAATTCCACAACTAGAATTCTTGTAGTGTTTTAATAGTAATCAGCAGTAAACAATTAAGTTGCTTAAGCATTCAAGTGTACAAGCACATATACATACATACATATATACATGCATACGTATATACCACTGATGGCTCATTATCTTTAAGTAAATAATGAAAACAAGACTGAGGAGCGGATAGCAATTCTTAATAAAAAATTTAAAAGAAAAAATTAGAAAAAAAAACTTTAGATTCCTTATTGAGTCAAACTTAAAAATAGCTATGCATAAATCGGTGTATAGAAGAATATGTATGTTTATGTATTTTCATTGGCATACACGTATACATACATATGTATATATGTATGCATGATTGTTACTACATTTGGCGCGAATATCTTTGAAAAGTTTAATGACTGAATGTAGATTATTTAAAATGAGTAACAATCAAAGCTTATTTACGATCTGCTATTCTGTTTTTCAAATTATACAAAACTAACAGCTTCACACTTGGTTCTTTTGTTTTCGTTTCTTCTTTTTACTATCGTCCATACATTTGTAGATTTGCAGAGATATTGTAAATGTACGTGTATGTATGAGTGTGTTAGAATGACAGTTTGTTAATCAATCGCTGTTTGATTTATGAAGGCAAATTTAAATTTAAATTTTAAAATTCCAGTTTCGCAAAAGTTTCAACTTTCTATTTCTATTAAAATAGCTGTAAGGCAAAGCTTCTTTAAACAGACAGTATTAACATAATTAATTATAGTACGCTTCTATGGAAATTACTGTCAAAATATATACGTACATATACAAATATACATATAGATTCAAAATTAGATGTGAACATCATTCCACATAATTTATTAACAGTTTTATTGGTCCTAATGGTTCTGACAGAAGGAGAACAAAATATGTTTAATTTAATTTAATTACAGTTCGATTTGTTTATTAACTTTTTACAAAAAAAAAATTACTATTTAACTTAAAACTTTAAATGAGGACATCACCATATTATTTCGTGGTAGCATTTTATGTCTCCAACATTTTCCAAAATTATTGTTATCTAATTGCATTCATATGATTTCTAAATTGTCATCTTGAAGAAATTGTATCATCAATTTTTGTTATTTTATAATTTTTTAAATCGTTTATCGCTTATGGTTATAAAGGCTTATTTTTTATTGAATTATGTTATAGAAAAAAATGTGTTAAAACAGTTCGAAAGGATATTCTCTTGTCCTCTGTAAGTAGTTCAAAAGGACGAAATAACCTGTATGGCCATAAAAGCGCTTATACCTCATTATATTTCAATGAATTTAACATTTATAAAAAAGTAATTTAATTGTTTGGTTAAAAGATCACACTAAAAACCCGATAAAATTTAATAATTGGTCTTGAGAAACTCTTCAATTAAGTAAATGATTTCTCACAAGACATACAAACCATGTTCATATTGAACAAATCAAATTACTTATTTATGTAGCACATTTATTTTAAGCTCACGAATATTTCAACTTCAATTATTAACATTTAAAAAATTATATAGATTTTGTCATAAACCACCAAACGGCCATACATTTTATTTCACTATATAAATTTGTAATGCATCCCTTAATAAGTATATGTATATAATGAGTAGTATTATTGTCAATGTCCTTTGTGTAGTATTCATATGTGCATAATATTGATTTGCATATACATATGTATAATAACTTCATGCACTCCTGGACATATATATGGGCCTGTGTACATATCTTTCGATGTTATGTAATAACTGTTACAATTATCATATATATTTGTATGTAAATATATAGATATGTATGCGTTGCACAACCACACTGGTATCCGTTTTTGGTTTTGTTTATTATATTTTAGTTAAACTCCATAGTTTATTTATATTTTTACAGTTTATATTTACATACATAGAAACATATATTTTTTATATATAAATGTAAGAATTGAACGAACCCAACTTTTAATATGAAACTCACTTATTATAATTTTTTTCAAATTTGTCTTTCTTTTTTATGCGAAAATATATTACACTGTGACACGATCGCACAAACAGACCACTTGTTTTCGTTTGTATCAATATTTTGGTTAGATCAGCCTTTTATATACCGCAGCGGAATTTTGTGGTGGGTGAGCGATGCTCACTGTCTGCATCATCGGTTGACATGCCTCAAGTTTACGGCGCCAAAATTACCACCGTTGGGAGATTCAACCAAAACAATATGTGTATCATTGAGTGGCTTACATACCCATAACAATCTACATACATACATATGTACATTGGACAAATGTATGTCGTATAGCACAAGCATCGCAAATTATTCGCTCCAAGTTTCGTTGGCGACAAATCGTACACAAGACGAAAGCCACTGGTTCGGCTCTTCGACTCTCTTACTCTTGAAAGCAGCGCATTTGAGATGTTCTCTCTTTTGAAGATTCAACAATAGAGGCTCTTAGATTTTCTTGTACACAGATACAGAATGTGCTTGTGCGTGTGTGTTTATTTATTTATTTATTTATTTATAAATACATTTGTATAAAAAAACATCGAAAAATAACTATTTACATTAATTAATCTGTTTTACGGATGCCTTGCACAGTAAATTCCATACATGCATACACGTATGTACATGTATACGAATTAATGTATATCCATACATACATATGTATGTACATATGTACGTAACAGCATGTAACTGAGAGGACCTTTTAACATTAATTTATTGTCTTCACAGTACATACATATGTGTATGTGTGTAATCACCAAATATTCGTTCCATTTCTGAAAATATAATATAAAATAATTCTATTTTTTAATATATTCATACATTATTAAGTTCATTGCATGTGTGCTGAGCCATACGAGATTACTTGTCTGATAAAATTTGCAAACGTTTTTCAAATTGTATTTAACTTTGTTATTTCGTATTAGAAAAATTAATACAAGCGTAAATTTCTCATAAAAATTCTAAAACAGCAATTCCAGAAAATGTAATTGACAATTGTTCGTATTTACATATGAAAACACTAAAGACTTCAATTAAAACAAACTTCGGATATTCTATTTGTATACGAAGGGTGTTTAAAAAATAATCAAAATAGTCCATTGAACTCGATCTTTGAGATAGCATAACATCCGGATTTTTCGAAATTCTTCATCCAAGCGGCGGAATTAATATGCCATTAAAATCGAAGCACACACTGTGATATCCTTCAGGCTCGACCGCTCTTGTCGAACTTTTTTCGGTCTTGGCTTTGGTTTCAATGCAATATTCATAAGCCTATTACTTAGTCTCCTGCCATATTTAAAAGGGTTTCCGATAACAACAAATAATATTCTAATTGAAAGTAAACGTTGTCCACATCAATATCTATATCACATTTCGGCCATAAAAAATTATTATCCATCTCACGATAGCGCAAGCCAGTCATTTTCGAGAAAGTGAGATCTGATGACCCCGCAAGACCATAAACTGCACGTTACAGCAGTTACACCTTGAGGATGGAGAGCCTTTCAACAATAAATCTTGCGTTTTCTGACGTAACCATGGAGATGGATATGGGCCTCATGTGGTCACACACTTCATACCAGAATCATTGGAAAAAATGTCATTGCAAGATTCCATCAGAGACCATCAGCGACTTTCCTAAATTGTTCTTCTGCGATCGTTCATAACCATTTATTTTACTTTTTTCCACGTTTTCATGGTGCTCGCCATGTCTAACGTCTTACGATCTTCTCGGAACGCTTATACCACCACACGTGAACCCTTGCTTTACTCGTAGCAAACATGACATAGGTCTATCTTAACATTTCATACTCTCCGTTCTTTCCGAATTTTGCACGCAAAACTTCTTTGATACATTTCCGGTGAAAACATGATGAAGGAATCCACCCTTTATTTTAAGCCGTCTTCAAAATGCTGAATTATGTCCATTAGCTACTCGGAGGGGTTGATTACTGCCAAATGGTTTCCAGTTATTACACTAAAACTAAGTAAACGTCTTATTAAGCCGTTGAATTCTTTAATATTTGAATTCATGGCACAAGACGCACCGGCGGAAATGGTTTGCACTCATTAAACAAAAAAAAAAAAATTATTTAAGTTTTAATATATTCCATTAATTCCATTAAAGTAGTAAGAAGTCACTCATTTTACGACACTGCGAGATTTCATGAAAACGCTTAAGGCTTACTGCAAATAACCATGGCTGTTAGTTATTTCAATTTACTCACCTCATAGCGATTAAAATCAAACTAATAATAATAATAGTTACTTTAATTAATGCTCGGAAAAGAACGCATCATTTTCCATGCCATTTGCCATGTATAATTATTTTTATATCAAAATTATTCACAACCGTTGAAGATTTTTGGAAAAGAAAAAAAAAATTGTGATTTTTAATCCGCCACCGAACGGATTATGGATTTTTATAAAAAAAAATCTCTATTTCTTATTTTAAATGTTGATCTGGTCAGAGTTAGAGCCCGGGACACTGTGCATAGTGGTACGTCCTGGTACCCACAACGAACTTTCAGGAGAATCAGGTTAATCATTTGGTTCTCAAGAAGATATAAAACACATTTAATTTAATTTAATGGCCAAGAATTTAGTTATACTACAAAGATAAGGGTTAGTTTTGATAAGGACCATTCTGTTTTGAAAACTAGTTCGGGCAAGTAACGCTGATGACTCCAATAAGTTCCAGCCGAGAGGCCCATTTTTCGATCACTTTTTGCAGCTACTGGGACCATATGTCAGCAATAACGCGCCGAACTTATCTGCGTAGACAAGCGACTTTACATAACCCCACAAAATATAGTCCAACGGTGTCTAATCGCACGAACTTAGGAGCCACGCCAAATGATGACAAAACGAAAAATTTGCTAAAATAAATTAATTGTTTCACTGGCTGCATGGCATGTACCGCCGTCTTGTTGGAACCAAATATAGGTCAGCTACGAAAATGGCTCTATTGCGCTACCCATTAACTATATTTTTGAAGAAACATGTGCCAATGATTCCCTCTGCCCATTCGATACACCAAATAGTGAATTTTAAGAATGTAATGGCGTCTTAACAATGACTTGTATCATCACAATTTTGTTCACTAACGTACAATACATATTCAACCAAAAGTGAGTTTAATCGAGACCCGCTTTATGGTCATTCGGCCTCAATTCTCGCCCGAGTTGGATTTTGTAAACGCGCAAACCAAGATCCTTCCGCAATGTAAGTCTGTTCATTATGTAATGGCAAACTGAGTATAAATCAAGACAAGTTCGAAAAAAGTATTGCCTCAAACAACTTGTCTAAAAAACACCCTTTAATATGTGCTTCAGCCTTTCACCTTATTCACGTCTTACTACTCCTCAGCTCCAAAACCATTCATTTACCTGTATTTACAACCCTTCACCTAAGGATACGCTAAATATTTTTTTAAATTTATCTTATTTGTGTTGTTGTTGTTGTTGCAACCGCAAAATTATTCCCCAAAGTACTTTTTGGGGAATGTTGCGGGAGTGACAGTCCTTGGCCGGATAAAAATCCGGGTCGTTCCGGTATAAAGACCCGACTGTCGCGAGAACTATTGGATTTTAGTCGCCTCTTACGACAGGCATGCCTTACCGCGGGTAAATTCTTGAGCCCCTAACCCGCAGGGGGATCTTATTTGTGTTAATAACTAATGGTTGTGTGTTTGATTAAACAAATCAATTAATTAATAAATGTGAATTCCCATAATATGAGAAATGTAATGAATATAATGTATATAATGAATATGAACAAAGCACTTCTGCTACGAAGTTGTAGAGAAATACTGAAGTGCACTCAAAAACTAAGGTTGCTAACAAATGGTCTTTGACTTTTTCATTCAATAACTATATATGTAGATAGGCAGATGCATACACATTTATATACAGTTCAAAGTGGTGTGCGAGCCTTCATAGTTCACATTTACATATATATGCTTATGTTCTTTTTTCATAAATCGCATTAAGAATACTTTTAGTCCGGCGTTTCGAAATATATATATATATAGTACGTGTCTATATGCATATTTACATGCATACCAGCTGGCGTCACGCTGAATTTGCATGTCTGCCATAACCAATATCTTTCTAGGTATTTTTGAATGAATCAGTCTGAATCGATTCTTCGCTTTCGCTATTTGTTGCCCCCATGTTTCTTCCGTCTTCATTTGAATTAACCAATTTGTGTGGTTTTGTTTATAATTTCTAGTTTGCTGGTGAATAGTTGGCAGTCAAAATATGTCTATACAAAACAACGACAAGTAATATACAATACATATATGAGCGTATTGATGACGACCATAATTTTACGCATGTTTGTATTTGCTAATAAACAATTTCAACAGAGCGCGTAAACTGGGCTAAATACAAGTGAAAATTACGCACAAATTTACATTTGAGTTTAATTTTTTACTAATAGCTTGCGTTATTGATTGTCTTTCATTAAAAAGGATGAGGAGTAGGAAAATACCGTAAAGTGAAGTTACTTGAACACCTTTCTTATATTTTTTTTTTTTTTGATATACAAAGAAAAAAATTAAGTTGGGGCTTACATGTGTCTCGTAAAACGTTGTTGGTACTTCTTGAGCATAAAAAACATAAAATATCTCTTTTATTTTCCATGGCAGACTGTCAAAGTCAACCCGTAGAATGTAGCAAAAAGGGTTGAGGAATGCATTTTTTTTTAAACAATTATTTTTTCCTAAATTAGTGTTGTTCCCAGTAATGAAATCTGCCCGGGGAAGATGTTGTTCTTGAAAACATTGTGAGGCATGTAAGCCAGCGTCAATATATTAATGAGATAACAATTTCCTCATCCTATTTGTGTGCTTCTTCAAGTATTCTTTCATACCCAGAGACCTACAGTTTATGCTAAACCAATTTATAGGTAGCTTTTATTTCATCTCAGAAATACAATCCAATGGCTTGGTGTGCTGTGTAGAGCATTGACTGCATTTGGAAAACAATATTTTGTATAATTTTCAATGTTGGTGTGACCACTATTTAATCCTTTGACACACTGCTGTCCACTTGGCTATAGCGGCCGCATA